TCTAACAAACAATGATGATTAATAAACTATTGTTTAGCTATTCGTTTGTTTTGGCAATCGCGATTGATAATTGATTACGCCGTGCATTATGTAATGATTTTAAATGTAGTGAGACAATTATTTCGGTAACGATCATGCGATATTTTTGGAATATTCAGCAGCAGCGGCGCATTTGCAATGTGAAATACAAATTGCGGTTCACTTAATTTTAAATTAAACTGCGCATCAAATAAAGTAGGATTTTGCGATGTAAGCCGACGAGGATTAAACATTTCAGCTTACGTTTAATTAAATTTTATTCAGTTGCTAGCGAAAATGCTGTTTATATTATGCGCTTTGATTTGAATTCAGTTATTATAAAACTAATTGTGATTTGTTTTGTTTCAGGTATGTTCCTAGAAAATTTTAAAATTTTTCGAGTGATTGGTAAGCGTAGAGAGAATTTTTTAATTTTTTTTTAAATTTGTAATATGAAAATTTAATAACGTAAAATGTTTACATTTACATTCCCATTATGTTCGGTTGTTAGGATGTAGAGATAAGAAGCACACACAGAAAAAAATCAAGTGTGGCTGGTGTCGTCGCGACGCCTTGTTTGGCCTTCGGGGTAGTAATAACAGCGGCGGCAAGTGAGACTGATGAAATAATGCTCGCATCCTAATGTCCCTTTGTTGGCGTCACGCTTCCTGCTCGCCGAGAGCTAGGGAAAAAGATAATGATAAGGCCAACGCGCATCCCATCACCATTATATCACTATAATGTTATATAAATATCAGGACAGGCTTTAGTCTGAAAAAATATTTTATAATAAAAATGTGTCAAGCCAACACTGTATGTACAAGGGCTTCTAAACTGCAATATGGCGTATGGTGAAGAGCAATTCATAACTGTTGCTCGTTTTTCTTTTTTATGCGCTTTGCGTTTGTTCTGGCTTATGAAGCCCGCCGAGTACGCTGACAAATATGCAAATAGCATAAGTGGAAAGCGAGCGGCGGATGAAATGTGGAGTGTAAAGGATGGCCCGGTTTTCCAGCAGTAGCTGTAGCACACAGGAGGCGGCCAAAACCCTACTTCGGGGGTTTATAATTCGAAAATCTCATATTTTATCCTCTGACAGCGACTTTTCCTAACCTACACAATTGATATGCAACCAATTATACACGTGCGTTAAATTTATTTGCGCATTGCGTAAAATAATTGCACTTAATACGAATAATCAAAATTTGAACGATTGATTGCGTGCGGCGTAATGAATGATGAATGCTGAATGCCGAAATTCATATCGCAGCGCGCGAGATGAAACGATATCCGCTTCCTAGTACGAATATAATCGACTTGCTTTACGTTTGGCAAACCATTCCAATAATTCAGCCTTGCTAATTTATTGCTGCTATTTAATCATAGACAAATCATTTATTATTGCCTACGAATTCCGAATTTTGTTCGGCGGCACAATAGACGCATTGTTGGTGAATTGCACAAATTACAAACAATTTCTCCGCGCGTAAAGAGAAAAATCGCAATTGTGAGGATTAATAACTATATCACTTGCGCTTTTGTCTTAGGAATTAATGCGCTATGAACATTTCCAACTAATAATAAGCGCTGGCAAGCAAATGTTCATCAATTAATTAAATCAATTCCAACTTTGTGCTTCTGCTTATTTAGATAGCAAGCAGATTGTTTTGGTATTATTAAATGCGTCCCTGAATGCCCGCTAGTTTTGAGGCTGTGTAAACAATAGAGACGTTGCTGCGGCCATAAATCCACCCGACCGCAATTATTTGTTATGAATAGCAATAATTATTTCATTAGGATTCGATTTGATGGCGTCTATTTATTAGTCGCGCTCAACTTGACACCCGCAACAATGTGGAGGCGCCGGGCAGCACAATCATAACTTTGAGGATATTGCAGTGAAGACACTATTGTTACCTCAGCGCAGAGAATCTTAGATTTATTGAATTAATTAAGTTGATATAGTTTGCATTAAATTCAGCGTAGGCAACCAACATTGCATTTTATTCAATTCATTTCCAATGTTTTCTTATGCTCGGAAATCGTTGAAAAATAAAATAAAATGTTTTGAAACTTATTCAGTTTGCAGTTGTGCATTGCATCTTTCCGCCTCTTGACTCTTCTTCGCAGGTAATCTTTTCGAGTGCTCGCTGCCGCAAAACTTTTATAACTCGCGACTCTAGTCTCCATCTTTCCAGCCGCGTATGTTCACGTTTCATAGCGCGTAATATTTATTACGGCCGCGCTAGTAAAAACGAAAGTTGATAATAAAATTTTCCGCCTTTGGGCGCGCGTAGTTTTTACCGCGTTCGACAAGTGCCCTTGTGCTTATGCTCATAGCATGTGTGTGAGTGTGGGTTTTAGGGTGTGCGCAATATAAAACTGATTTTTAAATTGCTGTGAGCGACGAGAGTAAAATGGCGTGTCGAGCGCGAGATTGAAAATTAATTGACTTTTTCAACGCTTCGGCTGATAAGCACATCAACGCGTAAAAGCACCGTGAAAATAATCCGAAAATAATACACACTGACATCCGAAGTCAGGATGTGTGCGTAATTGAAATGTTTTTAAACATTCTACTGCAGATATACTATATACATGTTATGTTGGTTGCCTAATAATCAAAAATTTCTATTATTTCAATGAATAGCGCTAAAATGCACGTTTTCTGCTTTTAATTTAGGGTGTAAAAATAAAACTGTCACGTTTTCCGTACTTGCCGGAAACACGTCATATGCGAATAGTTTTTCGAATCCTGACGGCCGGGCGTCCATCAAAAAGCTTTGCGCATCACGAAATTGTCGAACGCCTGTCCGAAATGTAAAGGTACGTGCACGATTCGCGCGAGAATAAGGAAAATATTGCGTAATAAAAGTGCGCGATATTTCACTGTCGGCAATTCGGTGTCGCGAACTTACGGCGACGGGCTATACACGTATAAATCTCCTTTAACCGCAAAGAAAGGTGCAGGGCCGTGTCCCGGCCATCGCCAGGCGCATATGATTCGCAGACTGCACCCCGGACGCAAGAAGGTTTTTGCCATGAACCACCCCAACCCGCGGTTGTTTTGCGCGCGTCCGCCGGCGAAAAATGTGTAGAAGCCGGGACAATTTGTAAAAGCTCAAAACTTCAGACTTCAGAATCGCTCATTAATAGCGCTGTGGTCCTTTCCGCACAATCCACTCCTTCTCTTTCACTCTTGTCACAAATGATGGTGATGATGACAAAAGCAAAGCAAGCAAAAACTGTTCGTAATTAAGAGTATTTTGTATCGTTAGCTTTGGAGCCCTGCGGGGGCCGCAACTGCAGACTGCAAAGGATAACGAGTTTAGGGACACACATACAAAGCAAGTCCAAAGCGACAAAAACCAATGAAAATCTTTGCGTAATGTCCACATCGCGTATTTGTTCAAATTTCCACAATTAAAACACAACCCAATTTCGAATTGTGTTTATGTTTCACTCAAGTATTTGATTATTAATTACTTGTCTTGCGTTGAAAGTTGGAAGAGATAGGGCGCATGATTCGCATCCCACTTGGGAATGTGGAGATGGGTTCAATCACTTATGGAGAGCGTTAGCCAAGCATAAAGGATAAAGAGCCGCCTGTGGAGTCGATTTATGAAATATTCGGGCGAGTGGTCAAAGACCATTTTCAGGACTTATTTGTCATGGTTATAAAGTGCGCTCGAAATAAATTTACCGCCATACGCCACGGATCATTCGCTAAAGCTAAGAATATTGAGCGGGTCATAAAATAAAATCCAGCAATACGTAATGATATACTTCCATAGACTATACTTTCAGCCATTTTAAACTTCCCGCCATTCTACTTCATTGTTACTTCTTCTGTGACTACAGACGCGTACGGAAGCAACTTCATTATTTTAGATATTCGCGAGCGAAGCCAAGGGTTAAAGCTAGTTGAATATAAAATAAAATTAGTCGCATTAAAATGTGATTTGCATACGGAAATCATTATTTTGTTATTAATCAAATGCAACCGTAAAAACTATTGTTCGTGCTCGTTATTGTGATTTATTCATTTCTGCAGTTTTCTACATTGTAATGCATTGTGTTGTGGGTGGCGCGGAAGTCGGCACTTATGAAGTGCAAATAAATGCGGCGCGCAATTTATTCCTGGATTGTAATCATATGCATTGCTGGCTTTAATTGTGCACTGTGCTTTCGGGTCGCATTTTTTCAGGTGGAAATGCATGCAATGTAATTAAACACAAAACATAACCTTACTTTATATTTAATTTTTATATACTTGCATGAATATGAACAGGAAAACAGTGAATGTTTGGTTATGATATGTTTTTCGAAAATATTTACTTAAATTTGCATAGAAATTCGTGTTTTATAATTCTTCTCCGGTTTGTTTTTCTTTTATATTCTTGAAAGTTGCTTGTATAAACGTCTTCTCTTGTAGATTTTGTAGATTTTGTTATGTTTTCATGCTCATTGGGTTGCCTAACAGTTTGTTTAGTTGAAATTTTGAATAACGATGTATTTAATTTTGACCGATGCCAAAGGTCCAGTTGGAAATACTCGTATGTATATAACGCGTGTGTAGATTGGCACAATTATGAGAAAACTTTCAAATCGGAATATTAATATGCAGCGCGGCTGAGTTTTGATGAAAACGCGCCAGCGCGACGACGGAATGCATTTCATTATGGACAACACACTGCGGGATTCGAGTTTACGTCCCATTCTGCCCATTCCTACGCCATTCAGCACTCCGATTTAATATTTGCTCATTCCTCAACGCTCGACGTGTTTGGTTATGTTAGGCGTATGTTACGCAACCCAAAGTACACACACACACATACGCGCAAAGGGCATTTACTTTTGATTGATGTCCGATGCGGAAACCACTCGAAAGATTTAATTAAAACTACACAAATTTCATTTCGAAAAAAAACACAGAGGAAGAAATTTTTGGGTTTTTTTTTTGTTGATTTTATGAAAAACAATTTAAGGTTATCTTTTTATTACTGCATGTAGAGTAATTTATTTCAAGTCCGTCACTGATGTGTTTGTAGCTTTTTCGCATTTTCTGCCTTGCCACTGACACTTTCTCGTTGAATTTCACTCCGGAATGGGAATTGCGCACGGGTCCATGTTTCATTAAATCCGGGCGCCTGGGAGAGAACGAAAACCTCACGCTCCGGTGATTCGAATTCATACGCGCGAGGTTTAATCATTTACATTTTTACTCGGCCGCATTCTTCTTGGGCATCCTCGCCTAACCCTAAACACCCAACGCGTTGCAATTGTAGGTTATGTTGTAGCGACTACTTAACACGTTGTGGAAACTTTTAAAGCGCACATAAATGCAAATTGTCTTTTGTTTCGCCGTGCATCACGTTTTTCGAAAAGTGTTCCGCATCAAAAAGTAACAACACGATAATAAAATAAATAATCCAATCAGAGAATACACTATGGTGATGATCCAGAAGGCTAGTAGATAGGCAACACGATGACAATACGGCTGTCCGTTACCAGCATCATAATTAGGCTGGTATTCAGAATAAACCATGTAGGAACCTGTGAATTTATAGTTGAATGGTTATTTTCGCAGTTTAAAAGCAAACGTGAGATTTATACCGAACGCCTGCCAACACAAGTCGAATAAAACCAGCAGGATAACGACGTTGAAGAGATATTTGTTCCTCGTGCGGATGAGCGCCTTGGTGAGGATACCTGTTGAACCTGAAAAACACACTTTACTGCAGCCGGGCGGGCGGAAGCCGACAAGATTTATGAGTTCAAAGGCGGGGAGAGAAGAGTATTCCTCTTTTCCGTTCGTTCGATAGTTTAGCTACTTTTATTCCTGCATGCATTAACTTTTGATACCCACCTGCGACGATGAGATAAACCGGAATCCAGGGATTCACCGTGCAGCTATTAAGACTGACCCAGCCAAAGACGAACATTGATGACATCACCAGATACATCAACACGACTGATGCGTTGACCACAGCTACAGAGGAGAAAATAAAAATAATTCAATTAGATTGTTTTGTTTTGTCTACCAGAAGGGAGGAGTTGAGTGCTTACGTGAGGTTTTCTTCTTGATCTTCTGCCACGAAGTGTCATTATCGTCGCTTTGCTTTCGCGGTGGTGGAAGTTTCTCCGGCACGTCTTTGCCATTCTCGCCACCCTCGTCGATTACATGTATCGACACGGATGGCGACTGATTCCCGTTGCGTGGTTTCTCTCCATCTTCATTTCCAGCGTCCACTTGATGTATCTGCGGTGATGGCGGTGCACTCAACTCCAGGACCGTGAGCGGAATGTCCGCGTCCTCGTCGCTTTCGTCCTCATCATGTCGGAGATTGTTGTTATTCCGGAGCGGTGTTGCCGCACGCCGCATGTTGGGATGGTTTCGGACGGGATATCCATTCGCTTAGGTGTTGTTCATGGTGACAATGTTCCCGTTCGACTGTGGGACGCACATGCTGCGAGCATTTCGGCGAGCAGCGATAATAAAAAACTCGGCACTATTTATACATTTTGCCAGGTTTGCATTGCCAGGTATTTTTAGCTGCCTAGAGAAGGCCAAGTGAACATTGGCGCAGACCTAGCCAAACAAAAAATATTTTTATGGACCACTGAATGTAATCCATGTGTGAAGGATGACAATTGATTATGTCAAACAATTTTTTTTGTTTTTTGTTTTAAAATTTTCGCTTTGAGTTTCCCTGTAGCGTAAATAAAGCGCCTTGGAACGAAATTGCCAATTAGACGGAATGAGCCCCACCCAGGGTCTTAGACAAATTACGAATTTACGAAACCATGAATTTTCTACGGTGTTATGATGAACTTTCGGCCGCACACCCCCGGCGAGAAATCATTCAGCGTAAAGTAATGATAAACGGCTCTCCACGGCCCCGAAACAAAGCGAATGACTGCATAATCAACATAACCACAAATCGAAAATCCTTCGCCTAACCCTAACTGAAAAAAACCAACATAACCTACGCCTCATGAAACAGAAGAGACGCGTAAAGTTGAAATATCCACCACCAGCCGGGGGATCGACGAAAATGAATAATACAACAAAATGTATTAGGTTTAGTTAATGCGCACGAGGAGAGCATCGCTCCGTGAAAGATAAGTTATTTCCAAGTAAATCGATTTCCAGCATGTGGGCTTTCGGATGCTTCTCATTCCCTTCGAAAAGACAAAAAGAAAATAAAACGTCTAGACGCGATGAAAAAATAGTGAACTTTGATCTTTAAAATTTATATTTATAACCTAGGTTATGTAATGTTTTATAACCAAGAAAAAAAAAGGTAAAAGAAGCGTAGTAAAACTCGAGGAAAGTTCGAATTCCCTTGGTTCATGTCTGATTTTCCGAGAACTTTGCGTCCGGGAGACAAAGTGCAAACAATGATTTAATGTGGCACACTTAGTTAAACTTTGTTTACCTGCAAGATAGGCAACCAAGACACCACCTATGTAATGCAGGGAAGAAAACAAACGTAACATCCTGTAGAATTCAATTTTCAAAGACCTTCGACGTAACAGATTTCCAAATGCAATTAGAATAGAACGTCGGTTATTATGCACTCGCCGCCGAATGCAAATAATTCACTCGCAAACATTCGCCGAGACTTTTATGGCTTGTTCCGCGTCCGCATCCTTCCACTTTGACTAATAGAGGGCGGGATGGGCAAATCCATTTTGATGCAATCCAATTTTGCATTTGCCTTGCAGATCCGTTCTTTCGCTTGTTTCGGTGTTCGCGCACGTACACATTCCGTACATGCGAGGAGTATTCGAGCGGAAGGTTAAGCAAGGTTGAGTTCCTTCCTGTTTCTTGCGGGCGGGCGTATGCTGCGATTGGAAGACGCGCGGGATCCGAAAAAGTAGCAAACTTATCTATTTGACGGCGCTGCTTTTCAATACATTTGTTCAGTGCGCGAATCGGCAAAAATTGAATATACTTCATGCGGATGGGTTTTTTTTTTAACTGATGCGATCTGAATGCGTTGCGTGGAGCATGAAATGAATGGAATTTCAAATATTCACGATGAAAAAATATAGCATTCTTTAAATTTTTTAAATTTCAATTTTTTTCCTAAAAGCAATTACAAATTAACAGGGAGAGATTTGTAAAAGATCTAAACATCTACTTGAAAATGGAAAAAATCCTTTTTGAATAAAAGTGTAAAAGCTTGTAGAGGTGTGCAAAGATGATGTTAACGCACCATACCGGAAATATGATTTGAATTGAAAGCATCTCTTTGCAACGACTATATTGAGCGAATTTTTTCCTTCAGAAATGCGTATTTATGAAACGAGCGCATGCTGAATACGCTCAAAACTCATTCCTATTGACAACCGGATGTTTACTTTCACGAGAAAAGTGTTCATTATGCAGAAATTCGAAAAATATTGCTTTGATAATTCCAACTATGACCAAACACGACTTCCACCATTCACCAGATGTTCATTTAATCGGAAGCCAGTGCAAATTTCCAGCTTGAAATTTGAAATTTCCTCCGCTTGTTGCTCTTCCCACAGATTGGCTTTGGTTTGCAACCCTTGCGATCAGCATGAAGTCCGCTCTATTAACGGATTAATAGCACGCGCACTCCGGGTGCAAGCATCATGTTCAACTCCGGGTCTAGTCTAGTTTTTGGGGCATCTGTGTTATCCGTCCGAAACATTCCTCGCTCCTTATTGGGTTTATTGTCCTTATTGTCCTTTCAGCAAGCCGGGGGTCAGATTCCGGCGTCAACCTTTTCCCCAAGCACTGATTGCTAACGTTATTATAAACACTAGGATAACATGGCGTATAAAACACACTGTTAGCACGCTGCAGTTGGGTTTTAGTTGATTTTGCGCGGATAATCGGTTAATAACTAATAAACGTTACATGCTTGGACGCCATGTTTGCAGCGCGGCGGGAGTATAATAAAGGAATGATAGCCGGAGAATATGCTCTCGCTTGTTTTAATAAAAGATGCTTCATTTTGGGCTTGGGACGCGCGCCACGTGCATAATTAAAGTTTAATGCTAGGTAATATAATTGCAAATGTTCCGAGTAGATCTGCATCATTCATTTAGTCGAAATGTGTTGTTTTAACCTCTTTTTGAGACTTTTAAAAGTAGACATTAGCTTTGTATAAACAACAGCGCCATCTATCGGAAGTGAGCAGAATTAATAAATTTTTATCACTTATAAAAGTTGCAAGTACTTTGCGGTTTTCATGTTTCCTCTTGTTTGGCACGCAATAAAACTCCGCCGGTTATTAATTAATTTTTAATTAAAGTTGGTATAAACTAGGGAATAGATATCGCGCTATGATTGAATGAGCGAGCGCATCCGTATCGGTGATTGCGGTCGTGGAAATCCTTCCGCCGTTTCCGATGTTGCGAACTTTTCTCTCCACCCGCCGGTATATTTTTAGACGATAGTCGGGGCGCAACGCCGAGACGCGCTGCTGGCGGATATAATTAAGTTCGCTATGAAAGTTGACCAAGGAAAATACTCGCGGCGCAGCGAACTTAATTGGCGTGCAAAACTAATTAATCTTTCTCGTCACACCGCCAACAACCTCTCGAGAAGATAGAGAATGTTTTCATAGTGTTTAAAACATCGGGTTGCAATAAAATAACAATACACACGTGCGGAAAATGCAAAAAATCAAATGGGGCGTTAACAAAGTCAAAGTGAATTTCCTCCGGGACTGGATGCGATGCGGGGCGCACTAATTAACGATTACAATTGTCGACGTCGACGCTATCTGTCTTGCAGGTTGTTCATCTATAACCTCAACGCGTCCCAATGTGACAATAAACCTCCGGAGGAGATTTATGATTTTCTCAGTCCCAATGGACAACTTTACCGTTGTATTTATTGCTATTCAACGTGCAATTTATTGATAAACTTATCCGGATCCAGTTGGGCGTTGAAACAAAACTGGAATTAATCCAATCTTTATTTTTTGATGCCCGCAGCGCATGAAAATGATGAAAAACGAAGTTGAAAGTTGCGGCGCGCTGGAACCGCCGCCGGAAGAGCGGAAAAATAATCCGTTTGTAGTTGGTAATCTAGTTAAGTAATCCGGAGAAGATTACGTCCGGGACGTTTCTTCAATTTCGACGCTTTTTGTGCGGTAAAGTATGCGGGGGATGCACATTATCTGGAATTAACTTTCCAAACGCTGATTTTTGTCTACAACTGCAGTCTTTTGATCGCAGCTAAACAAAAGACCGTGGAAAAATTGTTATGACAACCTGAAACAACTGAAAGTTTTGTATATCTCTACTAATATTATAAATGCGAAAGTCCTGATGTTTGTTACACTTTCACGCAAAAACTACTTAACCGATAATCATGAAAATTTGTACACATATTCTTAGTGGTCCTCGAAAGTTAAGTTGGTAGCTACTTCTCTTTTATTTAATAAAAAAAAATTATTTTTTAAATAAAATAAAGAAATTGTTTAGCTAATAATACCTCTGCATCTGGCTATTTGACTACTTTACCGCTACCAGGCATTCCAGTAAATGAAGCTCTAAACCTAAGTACTATAGTACCATCATTAATTGTATTATCACACCAGTTACCGACAGCTACGTCGTAACATCTTAAACTACTCATCTTACATCTATGGAGACTGTACACTATACCTGTAATTTGTCAGCCATTTAAACTTCCTGCCATTCTACTTCTTATTGTTACTTCTTCTGTGACTACAGACGCGCGGAAGCAACCCCCATCATTTTAGATATTTGCGAGCGAAGCCAAGGGTTAAGGCTAGTTTTTTATATTTTTGTGTTGCAATCGTAGGCAAAAATGCGCAGGCGCAAGTTCCACCCGTGACTAAAAACCCGTGACTAAAAGTACTTTTTGGTGGTCCGTGACTAAAGCAAATCCTCATTATTTCTGTGATATTCGCGAGCGAAGCCGCGGATTGTAAAAGCTAGTTTTGTATATTTTATTTGCTGCAGGCGAAACTCGAGACCAGCGCTGAAAGCCAAAACGGCCTGATTCACAGACGACCGATATACAACGAAACATCCTACTACATCGAGAATGGTACGTTAAAAATATTTAATTAATCAATAATTTCATCTAAAAATTTATATTAAAATATTTGCGCCGCATTTGCATCACAATTCTTCTTTCTGTTGAACTGAAATCTAACACCGCGAGGAAATGGCTCGGTGACGAATCTGATTCGCGCACAACCAGTTGATACGAGTATGCATGAAGTTGTAGAAAACTTCAATAAAATCCTGGGTGCGGGGTGAATTCTCCGTCTCGCATCTTCACAATAATTCGCCTGTATAATGCTAATATGTAGAAATATTTCCGAGTGGAGCGCGCGCGAGTTCCAGGTGTGCAAACAATAAAATATCACCCACAGAGGGCGCTGTGTGAATGCAATAATGGCGAAATCGATCGTGTTTTATATCAGCCCCAGACCTTTACAAACTCGATGCGATGTTTGACGAGAGACGCTCGCGCTCGAGGCTTACCTTCCATGCGATATTTTTCCCTCTTTCTTTGAAATCCTATCCTTTTATCATGCTACAGATTGTTACAAGAGATGCAGCCGAGAAAAAAAACTTCTGACTTATCTTCTTTATTTTATGCGCGAGTTTTCCTTTGTTTGATTAGTTTACTCTAGGCTCTTCGAAAATCGCCTGGCGTGCATCTTTTCGCGCGGAGTAATTTTTACGTCCGTGAAGGCGGAATCATTTGGCAGCTACTGTGCGTGGGAGGGAGTCACTTCGCGAACAAGCGAACCTCTTTCGCGCCAAGTAATAAAACCTCAACATCAGTCTCCCCGCGTCGAATGTACGCGGAAATAGAAGCTCTTCGTCGAGAGGGTGAAGATTTCCTCGCTTGTCGACACGCTGCTTCGACAGCGAATTCCTGCAAAGCAAAAGGACCTGCTTACAAATAAAGCGTCTTAATTACTCATAGACTTCTGATGCCGGGTTTCTTTAGTATCTAATTTCTGACAGTTATCTCGTAAATAATTTCTGGAAATTGGAAATTTTAAGAGAAAAATTACAGGAAAAAATGCGGTTTTTGTGGTCTTTAGGTTTGCGCGCTCCAATTCTTATTACTTCACATTCACGACGTTCAACAAGGGACGTTGGTCGGCGAGCGTATCATCCTCTGACGTGTTCGCTCGGGGAATCGCGCGCACCCTGGGTGGAAAAGAATACGAAAGCGCTGCATGTTGCAGGGCACAAGACGGTGAATCCTACGAGAAGGTGCCCACTGATCATGCTGAAGTACAACGACCCCCTGCCAACATCGTGCACAGGTATTTACGCCACGCCGACGTGCAAAACCGCGCCGGCCTCCTCTTGTATTCTCCCTCCCTCCTCCATCCACATAAGCTTCCAAACCTTCCTAATCGCACACACACCGACTGCAATGTTAAAATATTATTACATTATTACACGTGTGCGCGCCATCTAGGTAAGAGAGATAGAGATAGAGTGGTTTTATTATGATATTACTGCAATTTTTGTTTATAAACATCGAATATTTCCGAGCCTAGATGTAAACTTAGCGACCCGTCCGACCAACGAACTAATCGCGCGTTCGATTGTTTTATTGTATCGCCTTCTTTGTTGATATCCTCACGCCATCGAATGGTGTTCTCAACTTTTAGCTTCAATCGAGCCCGGCCTTCCTCATCCAGTGTTTCTTCCTCGTCGATTTCATCTTCGTATGTGTCTGGATCAAATGGACGCGTTTCAACGGATAAGAAGTTCGGTAGTTTAACGAAATGAATTTCTTTGCCTAGATCACAGGATATCTTCGGTATTTTCACGTCGATTCTTGTCTCCGGGGCGACTTCTTGTTCCTCTTCTTTTTCTTCCTAAATTTATAATTATTATTAAGTATTGATTAAAATGTTTGCGTGCGATTGTTACATCTTTCTTCTCTGTGTCTTCTTCATCTGCGGATCTATCCGAGCGGTCATCTTGTTGCATTGGCTCGGGTCTAGCTTCTTCATCGTCACTTCTTTCGTCTCTGGCTGGTGCGGCTTCCTTTGCTTTGTCTTCATCTGAGCTGATATCATCTGCGTCGCCGAATAAATCCGCAGCGTCAGCGCCTTTGTCTTCGTTTTCGCTGTCGGAACCTTTTGCTGGTGATTTATTTTTTGTGGAAGCATCATTCGGTGTGTTTGAGCGTGATCTACTTCTTGATGCGGCTGATTTTGACCTTAAAATGGCGAATTTTAGTTTTAGTTTTAAGTTCAGCGTGATTAAATGAAATATGCAACCTGTATAACTTCATTTCAGCTAAAGTAAAACTTATTTATTAAAAAGTTTTAGTGTTAAGAATAAAAATGAAGAATTTTGATTGAAGAGGCTGTGGTAGGTAACAAATATTGTTTTTCTACGCCTACTTTGTATAATTATTCGTTATTTTCATGTAGTTTTAAGATAAAATCTATGTTTTAAGTTTATATCGGTCTGAGTATAATATTTATAGTAATTTGGGTTGCATAACTATGAAAATTAATATTTCTAAACAATTTTTACCTGCTTCTACTCCTACTTCTTTGACTTCTTGGACTCCTAGACCCACTTCTTGCAGATTGTCCACTGTGATTGCTTCTATTAGAATGAGCGCTACCAGAGCGTGATCGGGATCTAGAACGACTCCTAGATCTTGATCTGGACTGATTTGATGCTCTGCTAACATTTGACCCAGCACTTCTCGACCTTAACCGAAATATAAATAAAAATTTGATGAAATTAACGCATTTTTAGGTTGTATTACCTGCTGCCACTTCTACTCCTACTTCCACTATGTTGTGAAGGTGATTTTGATCCGCTTCTTCCCGAATGTGCACTTGATCTTCTACTGCCAGCACTTCCCGATCTGGATCTTGATCTTGACTGAGATCTTGATCTGTTTGTGGCTGGACTGCCAGACCCGGAGCGCGATCGGCTACGTGAGCGAGATCTCGATCCTGAACCTGCACTAGCATTAGAATGTGCAGATCTGTTTGATTCAGCACTCGCAGATCGTGACCGATTGGGTGAAGGACTCCGATTTACACCTGTAGAGGTTAGGAAGTTCAAAAATCACACACGAATCCTGTTGGAACTATGATTTCGTATGCAATGATGTATATTAAAGATAAACATACCCATATTTATTGTCTGTTAACTGTGGCACTAATTTTAATAACAATGAAGTACTTTTTCGTTGGCACAGATCACGGATTCATCAGCAACGATGTTTACAAGCCGACAATATGCCGAGAGTATGGCGGTTATAAATTTATGAGAGATGTATATTTTGCGTGCATTGCTCTGCACGCTCAGCAAAATGTGCGAATCTTTTCGACGAAGGTTGTGTCAATGGCGGCCTACCAGGCTCCAGCGATGATCACGAATGGATCAGGGGCAATGGACTTGGAAAACGTGCCACACCAGCAAAGGTCGCAATCGATGATTTCCTAAATAATTTGCGTGCCTATTATAAAATGAAGCAGTATCTACGTCAACAACAACGCATTAAAACACGGTGTGCGAATCTTTTCGATGAAAACTGCACCAATCCTGGAGACAACCACGGCGACGACGAAGAATGGTTAGGTAGTCATGAATTAGGCAAATGATTTCTTATTCTCTGTCACTATAAACACTATAAACAATAACTAATAATAATTAATAAAACTATTTTTGCAAATTTAAAACCAACGATTATTTTTTTAGTTTAAGGGAAATCTTCGGACGTTGAACTTCTGCGTTTAAATTCATCAAAATCCAGTGTTTCAGTCTTATCCTTCGCTGACCTTATGTATTCCATGTACTCGTCAAAGACTCGTGAATTAGCATCGCTGAACATTGTAGCGTTGATTTGATTATTCCGCCCGAAATTGTCATTTGTTTTGAAAGGTGCTTGGAATCTTTTCGGTTTCTTCGGTTTGTCAAACACGCATTGTCCATTTGCGGTACGCCGCGCAGTCACTAATACTTCAGAAGCCCGTAGTTGCTTCATAGACGGACGATTCATCACTTCCTGGCAATATTTTCTTACTTCTTCTGGATCATTACTCTGCATTGCATTCAGCCGCATCTGATTGTAAAACTGTTCAAGCTCGCGTTTGTTAAACAACTTGAAACCTTTTTTCTTAGTTTGTTTTTGAAACGGTGTGATTGGCTCCAATTGTGAAGAGCATAAATCAATCACTTCCTGTGATGATTCTAGTGACTCTTCATTTTCTTGAGATTGTGCAACATTGTTTAAAAATGAATTTTCAAACGATGCAGCATTAAGTTCTTCAGAATTTAATAATTTCTTCTTCTTAATGGGCAATTCAGGTGAATAGGTTTCTGTTGTTACAGTTTTTGGTTTAGTGCCAGTTGTGCTGGTACAAGGCGTCAATACATTGCTTTGTAAACGAGTTTTAAACTCGTTATCAAACATTTGTGGTGTTGGTGTTATGCAGGCCTCAGCATACTTCATTCTAGCTTCAATTGTATTTAAGTTACCAGATGGTATTGGTGTCGACGCGTCTTCAGCACGCAAATTGTTCATAAAATGTGAACTTGTAATCGAAAGTTCTTTGTGAGCAATATCTTCAATCATTCGTACATCATGACTACTTGATTGCGTATTAGACTCAAATTGAAAAGGATTATTGGGTACTTCAGGCGCACAAAAATCAAATACGTTTGCCTGTGTACTTTGTGAATCTTCACCGTCGAATGAAAAACTTAAGTTTATCTCATATGGATCAAAGGCATGACTTTTGTTTAGAAAATCTACTTGTTCAAGTGTTTCATTATGTGTGCATGAAGTGTTAAACTCTCTCTCAGCCTGACTAGCCTGTTGAATATTTCGAATATTTTGCGTAAATGTGTCAAAAGCAGTGTTACCATTATTAAACACCGACTGAGACATTGGCACAAACGAAAAATCATCAGAATCGCGCAAAATTGCTTGTTCTCTCGCCGCAATACCAGAATAATTTCGAGATAACGTGTTTACCGGTTTGGCAATAGTGAAATTTTGTAATACTTTAACAGGTTGCTTCGGGACAGTATTAAAATTACTTGAAATGCTTGAATTTATGATGAGAGGAGATCTATTAATGCCCTTCTGCTGAAGATAAGAATTCTCAGTAAAACTTGAACAATTTGCGCGTGACTGATGGGAAGAATAATTTGTGCTGACAAACTCGGCTTGAAAATGTTCTTGTGTGAGAGTCATATCAACGTCATCGTTTTGAGTCGAATTGAACGTGGATTTACGCACACGTCGTTCAATATTAATTGTAACGCCGAGTTCTTGCAGTGCAGCTTGATACTCTTGCCATAATTGATACGCAGTGCATTTGTCGCATTTTCCCACGCGTTTTAACTCAGCAAGGGTGTTTTCTAAATTAATTTTGAGCGCTATCTTCTTATCAATTGAAGTATCCAAAGATTTATCATCTATTTTTCTTAAAAGTTGATCTGCATCAGTTGTAGCAGTGTCAGGCCAAACATTTCTTGCTAAAGCCAAGCCGTAACCTTCCAGGGTAACAACACCAGGTATTAATTTGTGTGTAAAGTGTAACTTTGGTTTCTTAGCTTCATGATGAATTTCTTTTGTTTCCATTTGCCAACTGAAATTTAAATCGTTGAAATTATTTTTAATGTATTTACAAAATATCTAACTAACCATTTAATCTGTGGATATAATTGTTGTAGTTTTGTAATGTAGGTATAATGAGTTGTGAAATAAATAAAAGCGGGTGTGCGCATCAAGTGTTCACAAATCGCCATTGCAAGTGCGGTTCCTTCACGCACGGCAGTCGAACGACACAATTCGTCAATGATAATCAACGTTCGATCAGTGATAACATTGAAGAAATATTTAATGTCTTTCATTTCGAGGGTAAATGCAGATGCACCGTTCTCAAAGTTATCCTCAAAGTAGATCCTCGCAAGAAACCGGTCGCATATTCGAAAGGTGGCGCTGGTTGCAGGCACGAAACAACCGATCTGCGCCATTATTTGCAACAAAACTATTTGTCGAATGTAAATTGATTTACCAGAACCATTGGCGCCCGTGATCAAATGCAGGCGGTGTTCTGGTGTTACGATCTAATATATTTTTGAATAATTATAACTGAAGTTTGTTGGATTAGTATAACTTACGATGTTATTTGCAACAGGTTCCTTTTCGAGAATGTAATCTAAGAGAGGATGACGCGCATCGATAACTTTAGTATAATTATCGAAATTGGGACGAACATATCGATTTCCCGCAGCTGTAGCATTTGCTAGTGATTGTAGAAAATCAAATTTTGCTACCTGTTCACACGTTATATAAAGTAAAGAAATGTTTTCCTGGACTTTAAGCAGTAATTTGTGGAGATGCCTAAAATCAATAAAATTTTTAATGATTTGTTGAATTCCTATTTCTCTTAAAAAGAAAACCTACATATTACTGATTTTAATTATTTCAGTCGCTGTGTCGCTTAAAAAATTCGATAATGTTAGTAATTTAATGGTTTTCATTGTTACCATCGTCGCCATAATGTCAACCTAGAAAATATTTTAGGTTTGAGTTTAACTTAAACTCATAAACTCAGGAATTATTGTACCTGGCAGAAATCAACAGGTAATGTGGACTTATTAAACTTGTTACGTTGTTTTCCACCCAATTGCAAGACCATATGATATCCCTTCTTTTGGCTGTTTGATAATTTCAGATCATAACCAACTTCTAGAGCTTTCTCTGCAACGTGTTTGCGCATTTCTTCCACACGATTGGAATATTTTGTGCGCAAAAAGTCTAAAACATCGCTTACACCACCTTTGATGGCAAAACAACGTGCTGTTGTGCTTTGTTCTCCTGAACAAGGCCGAGCGTCCTCGTGAAGAATCCGCTTGAACTCGGTATTGAGGAATTGAAACTCTTCTCGATTTAAAGTAGCAAGTACCTCGTGGAAGAAACTAGATCTACATGTGGATAATATCTCCTTCATCGGTTCTATCTCATCAAAGAAGCTGTTCAGGCGCAGAACGTAGTTTAAGTGGCGCTCGTCGCAGTACTGCGCGTTTCCTTTCAGTATTGTAGCAAGAGATAATACTTGACCGAAAGTTGACAGTTTCTTTAATATATCCTGATGATTTTAATCAAAAAGATGTTATTTTAATATAAGTAATAAAGTTTATAACCTACCCGAAGTGCGATTTGTTTTTCAGGACATTTAAGCAACTCCTCAACGCAATCCAAACGACTTTCGATCTCCTCCAACTGATTCGGTGGTTGTAAAATCGTCGATCTTAACATTCGACTACCCAATCTTGTCTTGCAGTGATTAAGTATCCCTCGTAAGCTGGAAGTCTTTCTATGTATAGTATCGTCTTCGAGAGCACACGCCACCAGCTCCAGCTTGTCTGCGACGAAGACATCTATCATCGAATTGGAATCCGACTCGGTGTAAGTTACCCGCATGCTTTCCTTCGCATAAAATTCACGCTTATAAGTCTCGAGATAAACGCGCAATGCGCCGGTGGCTGTAAGTGCGTAGTATTTATGTTGCAGTACGAGTATCACCGGATTGTATGCTTTGGCACATACATCGCGCACGAATTGTTGCCCGGAATCCTTGCGGAATGCCGACCGATCAATCGCGAGTATTTTTACCGCTGGGAATGTGCTTTTTAACATCTCGACGAGTCTTGTGCTTGTAAATGTTATCGGAACCAAAATCTATGTAAATATATTAATTTAATGTCGATAATCGATGAGTTTAAGTTTTATATTTTGAATTTACCTCTGATGGATATAAAACGTGAATTTTATTCAGCACCTTGATGTAACTGCTGGTGTCCGATATTTGCGACAATGACAATTCAGGGTTTTGAGTGTTCATGGCAGAAATGCCTACTTCACAGGATGCTTCGCCTCGCCCCTCCGTGATTGCTATTTAAAAAAGTTAATAAAATGCTTTATTGCGTTTTTTATTGCATACCTATGATAATCCCAGACTCATCCACTGTTGTATGTGTTGTGTTTGATGTGTGTGTAACTGAATTACTTTCAGAATGCCATTTTTCTGTGCTCTTTGATTTACTGGTGATTGTGGAGGTTTTTCGTGTGTGACCTGAAGCGCCATTTTGTATATAGGTAACTAGAACCAAACAATTTATGCTTAGTATTAGTAAACGTAAAAATATAATTTTCCAATCACCTTTTAGCGTTTTCTTCTTGTTGCGGCGGGGACATAATGCGAAATCGTTTAAGTTCATTGTTGTAACACATAAAACCTTAAAAACCACATTAAACACTCTTAAATCATTGTTTAACCGCCGCACGTTAAAGAACTGATTACTATTTGAAACTTCTTCCTAACCTAAACTTGTAACTGGTTTTAGTTCCAAAAACCGCCGTTCAAGATATGCAGCATTATATACATCACAAAAACTCTTTGCTTGTAGCTACAATTTGGCAATGCCATGAAAAATTATGATATTTATTTTATTATTTTCTAATTTGAATACGTAATCCATGTTTATAAGATGTATTTATTAAATTGTTTTGTGATTTAGAAGATTTTAGATATTTAGAAGATGCATTACATTAAAACAAACTTTCATGCGTATGAAATTGATAGTTAAACAAAAAGGTTTGCGACCGTGACAGGACTCGAACCTGCAATCTTCGGATTCGAAGTCCGACGCCTTATCCATTAGGCCACACGGTCTGATAAGGGATGATTTCCAGCCAAAGAATCACCCTCTAACATTCTGCTAATTTATATGTCAAGACAAACTGAATAGACCCATTATATGTACAGAATTTACCTATTTAACTTTTAATTCATCAATTATTAATGAAATATCCAAAATAAGGGGTGATTTCTATTAATTCCAAGGAGGAGCATGACTGAAAAACATCCCTTCATCAGACCGTGTGGCCTAATGGATAAGGCGTCGGACTTCGAATCCGAAGATTGCAGGTTCGAGTCCTGTCACGGTCGCAAACTCGACTCAACGAGTCAAAATTTTCCCTAATTTTATTGCTTTTCACGATGGTAGTTAATCAATTAATTCAAATTCAAATTTTGGTTGAGTTATCGCATTTGCAGGTTAGGTTAAGGTCATGTGTTTGTCGATCACGTAAACTTTCAGTGCAAAACCTTGGCTGGTTTTCATTGCTTTGTGCCATAACTACTCCACCTAACAGCGATGCATCGCTCTACTAAAATATGAGGTATGATTAACATCATTCCTTCTAAGTTGATGCAGATATTAACTGGTAATTGATAATTTTCAGGCTGGCTACGATCAGGCTATTCCACCTCAGCAGGAATAGCCTGTTGACATCAACAGAAGTAGCCACTGCTCTTAGGCCGTTTTATTTTGCTGTACATCCCGATTTGTTTGAGCAATTTCCAAAAGAAAGGGTAAATATCCTACTCAATTAACTTAATAGTTAATAAATAAATATCTATGCTTATAGACAACTAATGAGAATTCTCTTAAACAATTGAATTCTTTCATTGAAACCGTTCAAAAATCGCGCCACGTTCAACCCTGCAGTATACAATTCTACATCAGAGACAATAAAATAGATACCAAGAAAGGTACATTCAAATTAGTTAAACTAGACTTGAGGGAAAGAGATCTTAGATCAATTCTCCTAAAAGTTCTCAAATCATGTAACCTGAGTACAGAATTTATCGACAAACTTCCACAACCAGCGCAAAATTCATCCAGCGGTTATACATTTGTAAGACCCGATCGAACAAACGATATTGACTTAACTAATCTAGACCCGAACGACGTGATTTTCGGCCCGCTGGCGGTGAAACGCACAATTCGCGAAGCGCAAGAAAATCTAAGACTCTGTAAATGGCTGGAGAGCAACAACAAAGAAGCATTGGAACGCAGTAATCTAACAATGCCAATGCGAGAAGACATTGAAGCATTAAGTAAAACTCTCTCAGCTGAGTTAAAGTTATCCGACTTAAGATGGGACTGCGGTTGGAATATCCAACACTTTAAAGGCTGCTTACAGAGCTTGAATGCGTTGACAGTCGAACACTTTGATGATCTTCAGTGTTTAAAAGGCAGAATCTTGGTGTTTGCACCATTCACCGGCGTTAGTTTGGATGGTCACATCATGTTGAACAGTGGTGAAGTTAGACACAACTGGTTGGATGTAAGTTGATCAATTCCATGTCTAAGTAAATATTAATTTGTTTAACTGCTTACAGTTGATCAAAAATATCAAGAAGTACGATGAACATCTAGAAAGAATTCCCGCATTCGAAAAGGCTGTCTCTCAAGTGCTGCGAGATATTAAAGTAATGCGACGTAAATTTATGCCGAAGATTCTCGCCGGCGAGTATGAGCGCCATCTACAACAAATCACCACATCCCTGAGTGACTTTCTTACATATAAAAAGTTTCCAAAAACTTGGCCAAAATCACTCAAAAGATTTGAAATCGTCGTTGAAACGTAAGTAAATTTTCATATTAACCTAAAACTGATTTAAAATTGTATTAAATTACAACAGGGAGGCTGGTCCATTGATGGTATCCCCAACAGGACAATTCATCGTCCCTGCGTCATGCCCAGGCTTCCTCCTAGTCAGTTTCATCACAGATAACATGGAACTCGCGCTGGAGAACATGAGTCGCTACGAAACCGACAAACACATCGAGCGCTCACTGCAGGAAAAGTGTAAGATTAATTTACAGTTGCTGAGTCTGCGTAAAGACGACAACGTGACGCCGGAGATGATGATCGCGTGCTGCGAGAATCTACTGGTTCATCAGCGTCGATTGTCCGAGCTTACAAACGGCCTGCGACTGAGTATTTCAACGTATTATTCGGTGCTGTCCGATGGGGTTGTTTGCGTGCCATGGAACTGGAAATTGTGATCATAGATAAATAGTTAAGATTACTAGGTCAATTATAATTAAAATATTATATAATAGTTGTAGTTGATGAAATGAAATGAAAACTAATCGCTATCTTCGCTTGATTCGGAGTCTTTCAGTGCTTTCGGCTTGTCGAGTTTTTTCGACCGGCGTGCTTCAAAGTCAGAACCTTCTTCATCCGATGAATAAATCGCGCCGCCTTTGGTAATGTTAGCGCCTGATTTATACTTGTTTTTGATGGCGTTCAGTGAAATGGCGCCTTCGTCTTCACTGCCGTCTTCCTCACGGTAAGTTTGACTGGCGTGTAGGCGACTACCATCACCGCGTTTGCGTGGTTTTGTTTGTCGGAAAGTCTGCCTAAGTTTTTCTTCTTCTTTCTGACAAAAGACAAAAATATCACAATGTAAAATACACGCTAACCTTAAATTATTTACCTTCAACAATGTTTTCTTATCTTTATCAGGATCAATCCCCACTTGTGAGAGAATTTTAATCCCGCTTGTTTTCTGCGAGCGATCCGCCAACGACAGCGTCATCTTGCGATGCGTGAAGCTCTCTGTAGAGTGTGGTCTGAAACTTAGCTTAGTCCTAAACACAGCCTGGCCTTGCAAACCCGTCCCCTGTCGGATAAACAAATGATTATGATCACCCTGCAGTGGTTGTTTATACACATCGAATATTTCCGAGCCTAGATGTAAACTCAGCGACCCGTCCGACCAACGAACCAATCGCGCATTTGATTGTTTAATTGTATCGCCTTCTTTGTTTATATCCTCACGCCAGCGTATGGTGTTCTCAACTTTTAGCTTCAATCGAGCTCGGCCTTCCTCATCTAGTGTTTCTTCCTCGTCGATTTCATCCTCGTATGTGTCAGGATCAAACGGACGCGTTTCAACGGACAAGAAGTTTGGTAGTTTGACGAAATGAATTTCTTTGCCTAAATCACAGGAAATCTTCGGTATTTTCACGTCGATTCTTGTTTCCGGAGCGACTTCTTGTTCCTCTTCTTTTTCTTCCTAAATTGATAATAATAAATAAGTATTGATTAAAAAGTTTGCGTATGATTGTTACATCTTTCTTCTCTGCGTCTTCTTCATCTGCTGATCTATCCGAGCGGTCATCTTGTTGCATTGGCTCGGGTCTAGCTTCTTCATCATCGCTTCTTTCGTCTCTAGCTGGTGCGGCTTCTTTTGCTTTGTCTTCATCTGAGCTGATATCATCAGCATCACCGAATAAATCAGCAGCGTCGGCGCCTTTGTCTTCGTTCTCGCTGTCGGAACCTTTTGCTGGTGATTTATTTTTTGTGGAAGCATCATTCGGTGTGTTTGAACGAGATCTACTTCTTGATGCGGCTGATTTTGACCTTAAAATGGTGGATTTTAGTTTTAGTTTTTAAGTTCAGCGGGTTTATATGAAATATGCAACCTGTACAACTTCATTTCAGCTAAAATAAAACTTATTTACTTAAAACTTATAATGTTAAGAATAAAGATGAAGAATTTTGATTGAAGAGGCTGTGGTAGATAACAAATATTGTTTTTCACCACCTACTTTGCTTAAATAATATTTAATAAATATTCGTTATTTTCATGTAGTTTTAAGCGAAAATTAATGTTTTAAGAGTTTGCCAGTCAGAGTATAAAATTTAAAGTGATTTGTGTTGCATAACTATGCAAATTAATATTTTTTAACGAATATTTACCTGCTTCTACTCCTACTTCTTTGACTTCTTGGACTTCTAGACCCACTTCTTGCAGATTGTCCACTGCGATTACTTCTATTGGAATGAGCACTACCAGAACGTGATCGTGATCTAGAACGACTTCTAGATCTAGATCTTGACTGATTTGATGCTCTGCTAACATTTGACCCAGCACTTCTTGATCTAAACCAAAATATAAATAAAAATTTAATGAAATTAACGCATTTTTAGGTTGTATTACCTGCTGCCACTTCTACTTCGACTTCCACTATGTTGTGAAGGCGATTTTGATCCGCTTCTCCCCGAATGTGCACTTGATCTTCTACTGCCAGCACTTCCTGATCTGGATCTTGATCTTGATTGAGATCTTGACCTGTTTGTGCCTGGACTGCCGGACCCGGAACGCGATCGGCTACGTGAGCGCGATCGTGATCCGGAACCTGCACTAGCATTAGAATGTGCAGATCTGTTCGATTCAGCACTCGCAGATCGTGACCGATTGGGTGAAGGACTCCGATTTACACCTGTATAGGTTAGGAAGTTCAAAAATCACACACAAATCCTGTTGGAACAATGATTTCGTATCCAATAATGTATATTAAAGATAAACATACCCATAGTTGTTGTCTGTTAACCGTGGCACTAATTTTAATAACAATGAAGTACTTTTTAGTTGGCACAGATCACGGATTCATTAGCAACGATGTTTACAAGCCGCCAATATGCCAAGTGTGGAGGTTACAAATTTATGAGAGATGTAGGCAACCCAAACAGCACCTGTGTAGACATGTTCACGTAAAAAGTTGGAAAATTGCGCCAAATTTCTGCAGTTTTTAACGGTTTTCGCATCATAATTTACGTTACAGTTGAAAAGTATTACTTAAATTTGTCTTGCATGTTAGTTTTCTGAAAGGTCAAAGAAAGATCAACTCTACAAACGCCATAAAACATCTTTTTGGTAGGTTTTTAAGCACACGCAGTAAATATCATCTTTCAAAATATCTTACAAATAAAATTTTATTATTTCTTCACTTGTAAGGATTCTGAAAACGATTTAAAGGAAAAAGAATACTCTCGCATAAACCCTTTCATAATTATAATTGTAAAAGTTACAATCATTGACAAGAAACTATTATTTAAATAATAAAACACACACTCAAACTACAATTAATTACATATCTACATTGTACATAAAATTGCTTTCTTACAGCATTAGAAATTAATAACAATTCTAATTCATCACAGATGATAAAAGCTGTGAACAAAAGAGAGTTTAAATGTACAATAGATTGATTCACAATTGATTTACATAATTCTGGTTGCATCCGGTTGTTGGTATTTATTCTTGCGTCTTCAAAAATCACTCCTCCACAGTGTATTTCTGTTACAAATCAAGAGACTTCAAGAAGCACTGCAAATGTAAATAAAATCGAAATATTGGTGCGCGTTCGTTATATTGTCTGTACCTCAAAATGAAACACGAAATAGATGAGTTTTTGGTTGTCCAGCTAGTATAATATCATATTATTCACTTAACAAATAGCGTCTTTTCTTCAAATTTTAACATTATCAACTAAATATCGACGAAGCGTTAAATTCTCTCTATTAGATATTATCCAATGTTAAAAATTCTTTTATGAAAAATACATTTTATAAATTTCGCTATCATATATTTATGCATTTGTTTAATCGATTGGTACACTGCGTTTATTTTTATTATTTCACTTTGATTCTACGGTTGGTTTTGTTGTCATCAATTTGGTTTGACGTTAAATCTTCATCTTTTAAAGGTTTTGAATGCACGAGTCACACGACGCACTCGCAATATATTGTGTAAAAGTTAAAAATCGCACCTAATACTAACGCTTCTGTTCATTACAATATGTATTATTCGCTAAATCTTATGAATTGTTGTAAATTTATAGTTATCGTAATTAGTTTTATCGTCTATTAGCGGTAATATCATTATAAAAGAGCTTTTTCTCAACAAACAGGAAGCGCTATAAGCCATCTACGAACAGAAGTGTCGAATTTTTTTCTTGAATAGATTATAATTACACAAAGCTCTCCCTTGTTCTCGCAATAATCAATATCATACAAATCTGCGTCTTGTCTTTTACAATTGGTTTCCAAGTTTTTTTTATTAAAACAGTATCTTCTTTATATATAAGCTCAATTGATTGGGATTGTTTCAATATATTTATGTTTGTTTAAAAATACATATCTTAATTTTCTCGATGGTTCATCATGCTAATCTCTAAGCTACGTAATTACATTTGTGAACTTGAATGAGTGATATGAATCTCGTAATCCTCGTTTTTCTTAGCATGATACAAGCGATACAGATTAATTTCTGATGAAAAGCGGCGATCCACGCTTACACACTAGTCAAAAATGATGTCGAAAGCAAACAATAACAATAAATGTCGAGTGATAACAAGTCGGCGCATTGGGTCGTCAACAAAACTTGATAAAAAATCAATTCATTCAATTCCTAGTCTAATAACTAATCAATGTCTTTCAAATAAAATGTCTGTTTGAGGTTAGAAATTAAGCACTGACCTTAAATCCGATCACAAAACAACTTATGATATCCTAAACGTTAACACCGTCAACAATCAATTTGCATTACGTCTATATGTATAATGTCTCACATTCGTAATTATCGTTTAAACAAAGTGTTAGTTATAATATGTATCTGGTTGAATCGAGAAGTGTAGTAGATACAAACATCATCGAATCACTCTATATATCACATTTTATAACAATCCATGTCAGTGCTTAACAAGTATACATTCAAGAATCCTTAATTATTATTATTTCCCTCCATCTTTTCATCATCGTTATAAAGAGACATGAACAGTAAATATATTCTTATATATTCTTACTTTTTCGGATTCATCTGATATGAGTTAATATTTAATTACATTTACAAGGATATATCATTAAACATTTCACTCAATATCATTGATTCATGTCTGCGAATAGTTTGTTGATAAACTATCTGTCACAACGTACATTATAACAAGGCACGTTTGTATTCCAGTACAATAGTATTGTTATGTTTCTTTTCTTGTGTTTTTACTTGCTGTCATCACGGCACATCAGTTACTGAAATGGGCAATGCGATATTAATTGCTATTTTGATGTATCATATAAAAATAGTTCATTCTCAGCTGAACCAGCGCGATTTTTGATTCGAACTGCGTCTGAATAACATAACTGGACGCAAACATCAACTGTCAAAGAATCTACAACTAATTATAGGTTATGTTTGCTTAGACTTAAAACCTATGGGAAGATTGATTAAAAATTAAGCCTAACGTTTAAAAACTAAACAAACTTTAAGTTGGAAAGACAAATAAATCCATGCTTGCGTTGTGGTTGGCGCGGCGTCCATCTTGAATGAATTATTCGCTGTCGTTGGGATCCACCCAGTCAACACTGGCCCACGTCGGCAGCTCGGTCTGGTATTCCCAGCCGGGACCCTGAATAAAACAGACAAATTGTAGTGGAATTTAGTAATTGATGAAACTCAGCAATCCCTTAGCAATCATGCAACTGAATAGAATAGAATAGACTCCTACCCGGTATTTCCAGGCGTGCAGGTACATGACGAGGTCCTGCGGCTTGGGATCTCTGTATCTCACTTTGCACTCGTAGCAGTGCTTGTCGACGGTCATCTTGTCGGGGTTGAAGCTGAAGTCGGGCGCCTCGTGACCCGTCTGCGTCGCGACGGTGACCTTGGCATCGTTGTCCTTGCCGCCTTGCATGCCGGGCATCATGGCGACGTGACCAACCGATGAAAGGGGAGATAACGTCAGGGGATGCGGGGTGGATTCGCAGGCGATCGGCGTGTTGATTTCCAGACTGTCGTCGCACGGGGAAGGTTCCCTTGATACTGGATCACCGTCATCGTCGCCCAACACTCGATCTACACAGATAACAATTCATTCAAATTAAAACCTTGTTTGACATTGAGTTGAAAGAGGGCGTACCTTTTTGTGCGAATGGACTAACAAGTGATTCATCAAGATCGCCACCTTTGCGAGGGTTGAACATTGACAGTTCGCTATCACCGTCCATTCCCAGCCAGTTTTCGGCGTTGTGAATGTGAATCAGATCGCGGACTAGCTCCTCGTCAGTCTTACCACCCAAATCGCCGCCTTTGCCCTTCATGGGACCAAACACGTCGTGATTATAGAGAGGATCGTTAACTACCGGATATCCTGCAATATTTCATCAATAATTTAACCAAATCTTCATTGTGATGAAGATAAACGCACCTAAGTATTGAAGATGTACCCTGATCTGGTGCATGCGTCCCGTTTTGGGTTTGCAGAGCACTATACTAGTCTTTCCGTTGTAGCCTAGTTTTTGGAAAATCGTCGTGCAGTCCTTACCCTTCGGTGAGACTTTACAAACGCCGATTTTATAACTAACTACTTCGATGGGCTCTTTACATTCGATGATTTCACTGTACAAACACAAAATAAATTAATACAACTTCAGAAAGTGGAAAAAAAAAGAAACAAATTGAGTTTGTGAGTAGGTCTACTACTACTGATTGTGTACGAGTACGTTACAAAAACTTTACACGCCCGCCGCATAAAAAATGCATCGATTCATTAAGGCAAGACGCAAAGTTAAATTGTATTGTTGAATGTTGAATGTTTCTCGAAGCGGGCGAAGTGGTAGAATTCGTTTTGTAAAGAAGTGTAACAAGCACAGAAGGCAAAAGGTGTGAAAGCGCCGAGCACATTCTTTTGTCCAACTTACTTTGGAAACTCGCCCTCGACCCGACAGACGTACTCCTTTTGTACTAATCGGTTCCTAATTTGGTGCTCCATCTGCCGCGCCTTCTTCGGCGACCTGCCGAATAGAAGCAGCCCGCTGGTGAGTCGATCCAACCGATGAATCGTGCGCAAATTCTTCAAGTTGTACTCCTTGGCGAGGATGAAGACAACAGTGTTGTGTCTGTATCTGCCACATGGATGCACCTATCCAATCCAATCGAAGCACAATTTATAAACATAAACAATATAAATATAAATACAGCAATAATAATCTTCCAAGGTGTTTCAGAATATGAAAAAATGAAACAGTCTGGAAACGAGCACGACCTGTGAGTATTCCGGATATGTACATATATTACAAAGGTCTAGTCAGGTCCCAGTTGAACAGGACCACATCGTAAAACAAACCCGCAACGCGATAACCAGAAATAATTCAATTAGTAGGTTACGAAAGCCGGTTAGTTACCACTTTGGTGGCGTTTAGAAAGCGCCGTTAAGTAAATTGTTTTTTCTTTCGTCCCCACGGCGCGGATTATGATGGAAGTTAATTAAAATACGTCACTCTCGCAGTGACAGTCGAAAGCAAGTTATCGCACACAAACACTTAGATTTGTTATCGAAGGGATCACGGAGAAGGCGGGTGCTATGCAACCCTCCGCACATCCTTCAGCGGCGCGGCACAGTCGGCCGGTCCTGTTTGTCTTGCGCCCCACGTTTTACAATTCACCCGTGTGTGTGTCTGTGGGAACCGGAACCACGCGGTACTACTCACCGGAAGGGAACACGGTTTATCCAAAACAATTAAGTCTTCGTCTACATGTATTAACTTGATTGGGTTTGCTAACACGGGGGTCTCATGTCTGCAAAACAACCAAGAAAGCACTTTAAAAAGCGCTCCAAGGCGGGGCAAGCCAGCGGCCATTTTCCTATTGTCGTAAGCAAGGTGAAATTTACGAGGTGATGGTTAAAGTTAATACAATGTGCTAATACAAATCATGTTTAGTAAGCTAATGCGATTTTTCGATCGTTTTTCGCGCCCGGCGGCCGGCAACACGCTGCACAGAGACAGAGAGAGTTAAAATGAAGAAGTAGAAGAAGGTTTGTAAGATGATAGATTTGGCAGTCTCGGCGCCACTTACTGGAATAGAGGCAGGCTTGTTCACCACCACTACGTCCTCGTCCATGTGCACAATGGTGATGGGGTGACACGTCACTGGTACTTCGTGTCTGGAAATATTATTAGTACGTCTTGAGGTACTATCGCTTTTCATGACAATGAAACCCAACCACAAGTAATGCGTCTGCACATCGTCCGAATAGATATTTCCAAACAACAAATTTTAATCGCAAATGAAAGGATTTTACTAAGGGGGTATTAAAGAACACATGAAAGCAAACATCCGGAGACCTGCACAGATGCATTAGTGGATGGTTCCAAGTGTGAGCCATTTTGTATATATAATCGTCGAAAATTAGTGGCCATAGAACCGGGGGGCCGTGAAATATGTGCATGCATATTTCTGGTGTTTGTATATATATATTCAAAACGTGCACTAGCTAAAAACCGCGCCACACCAATCTGCTAAGTACGTACGAGTAGATTTGGTTGCATAACTGCTTTTTGGTTATTACATGTGTACTTACCTACAGATTGGTCTCTATTGTGTTTTACCAGAAAGCCCAACTACTAAATTAGTCGCTTGGTGTCTATGGCCACTTACTTTCGCAAAAAAAGCTTTGTGAGTCCAAACGAATTGCAAAATCCCAGCGGATTTGTCGCAATTTCCACAACCGAGCACAAATATCCAAACAACACAAAGAATTTTATTTCTTGTTGGTGCTTATCGGGATTTACAAATTTCATTTGTTGCATTAACTTGCAAGCTCGTTAACGCTCGCTGCAATGAATGAGAAGCCTTCAGGTTGACACCGTCCATGTTGTTTTATTACAGCGCAACTGTATGCAACCACAACAGCGTCTCATGATGTGACGTCAAACCGGAAACACAACGCAGATAATCCCACATCGCCTGGCTGGTTTATCGCAAGCTCGGCGAGTATTACAAGCGAAATTTGATTAAAACTTTAATGTTATGATGTTTAACCACAACAGCGTCTCATGATGTGACGTCAAACCGGAAACACAACGCAGATAATCCCACATCGCCTGGCTGGTTTATCGCAAGCTCGGCGAGTATTACAAGCGAAATTTGATTAAAACTTTAATGTTATGATGTTTGTGCTCGGTGCGCGCGGCTAGAAATTGCAGTAATATCATAATAAAACCACTCTATCTCTATCTCTCTACCTAGATGGCGCGCACACGTGTAATAATGTAATAATATTTTAACATTGCAGTCGGTGTGTGTGCGATTAGGGGTTTGGAAGCATGTGGATGGAGGAGGAGGAGAATAAGGAGGCCGGCGCGGTTTTGCACGTCGGCGTGGCGTAAATACCTGTGCACGATGTTGGCGAGGAGGTCGTTGTGCTTCAGCTTGTAGTCAGTGGGCACCTTCTCGTAGTTCACCGTCAGCGTGCCCGCCTGTATGCAGCGCTCGTATTCTTCCGCAGGGTGCGCGCGGAATTCCCGAGCGAACACGTCCAGGATGCGCTCGCCGACCCAACGTCCCTTGGTGAACGTCGTGAATGTGAAGTAATAAGGGTAGACCTTGCGCAAACCTAAAGACCACAAAAAAACGTTTTTGTGTAATTTTACTAAAATTTCGAATTTCCGGGAATTATTTACGAGATAACTGTCGAAATTAGATACTAAAGCGGCATCGAAGTCTATAATTAATTAAGACGCTTTAGAAATTTGTAAATAGTCCTTTTTGCTTTGCAGGAATTCGCTGTCGAAGCGGCGTGTCGACAAGCGAGGAAATCTTCACCCCTCTCGACGAGCTTCTATTTCCGCGTACATTCGACGCCCGAGACTGATGTTGAAAGTTTTATTACTTGGCGCGAAAGAGGGAAAGTTTCGCTTGTTCGCGAAGTGACTCCTCCCGCACAGTAGCTGCCAAATGATTCCGCCTTCACGAGACGTAAAATTACGCCGCGAAAAGATGCACGCCAGGCGATTTTCGAAGGCCTAAAATTAGAAGCTAATCCAAACAAAACTCGCGCATAAAATAAAGATAGTCAGAAGTTTTTTTTTTCTCTGCTGCATCTCTTGTAACAATCTGTAGGATGATAAAAGGATAAGTTTTCAAAGAAAGTGAGGAGAAAAAAATATCGCATGGAAAGGTAAGCCTCGAGCGCGCGCGTCTCTCGCCCAAACATCGCACATCGAGTTGTAAAAAGGTCTGGGGCTGATATAAAACACGATCGATTCGCCATTGTGCATTCACACCAGCGCCCTCTGTGGGTGTGTTTGTGTTTGCACACGGAACTCGCGCGCGCTCCCTCCGGAAATATTTCTACATATTAGCATTATACAGGCGAATTGTGTGAATGCGAGACGGAGAATTCACCCGCACCCAAGTTTTATTGAAGTTTTCTACAACTTCATGCATACTCGTATCAGCTGGTTGTGCGCGAATCGAATTCGTCACCGAGCCATTTCCTCGCGGTGTTAGATTTCAGTCCAACAGAGAAAAAATCGACGAATTGTGATGCAAATGCGGCGCAAATATTTTAATATAAATTTTTTCAGATGAAATTATTGATTAATTAAATATTTTAACGTACCATTCTCGATGTAGTAGGATGTTTCGTTGTATCGGTCGTCTGTGAATCCAGGCCGTTTGGCTTTCAGCGCTTTGGTCTCGAGTTTCGCCTGCAACAAATAAAAATAATACAAACTAGCTTTAAATCGCGGCTTCGCTCGCGAATATCTAAAATAATGAAGTTGCTTTAGTCACGGACCACCAAAAAAGTACTTTAGTCACGGGTTTTAGTCACGGGTGGAACTTGCGCCTGCGCATTTGCCTACGGTGCAACACAAAAATATAAGAAACTAGTTTTAACCCGCGGCTTCACTCGCGAATATCTAAAATAATGAAGTTGTTGTTCGCGTCTGTAGTCGCCAGAAGAAGTAAATAAATGAAGCAGGAATGGCGTGGGAAGTTTAAAATGGTTGAAAGTATAGTCGGAAGTATAGCGTACAGTCTCCATAGTGTGAAATACCTGGATTTGATGTTGACGTAGCGTCGGTAATACAGTGTGATAAATACAGTGTGATGGTACTATAGTACTTAGGTTTGAGCTTCATTGTTGGAATGCTAGATGGCGTTAAAGTAGTCAACAGATGCAGAGGTATTATTGGCTAAATCCATTTCTTTATTTTATTTTAAAAATAATTTTTATTAAATAAAGTAGCCTGGCAACTATCAGAATCACTAAGAATATGTGTACAAATTTTCATGATGATCGGTTATGTCGTTTTTGGTGAAAGTGTAACAAACATCAGGACTTTCGTATTTATAATATTAGTAGAGATATACAAAACTCTCAGTTGTTTCTGGTTGTCATAACAATTTTTCCACGGTCTTTGTTTGCCTGCGATCAAAAGATCGCAGTTGTAGACAAAAAATCAGCGTTTGAAAGTTAATTCCAGATAATGTGGTATCCCCCGCATTACTCTTTACCGCACAAAAGCGTCGAAATTGAAGAACGTCCCGACGTAATCTTCCCGGATTACTTAACCAGATTACCAACTACAAACGGATTATTTTTTCCAGCTCTTCCGGCGGCGGCGGTTCCAGCACGCCGCAACTTTCAACTTCGTTTTTCATCATTTCATGCGCTGCAGTAAGTAATCAAAAAATAAAGATTGATTAATTCCAGTTTTGTTTCAACGCCCAACTGATCCAGATAAGTTTATCATCAAATTGCACGTTGAATAGCAATAAATACAACGGTAAAGTTGTCCATTGGGACTGAGAAAATCATAAATCCCTCCGCAGGTTTATTGTCACATTGGGACGCGCTGAGGTTATAGATGAACAACCTGCAAGATGGCAGATACAGCGTCGACGTCGACAATTGTAATCGTTAATTAGTGCGCGCCCCGCATCGCATCCAGTCCCGGAGGAAAGTTCACTTTACCCCGAGCACGCCCCATTTGATTTTTTTGCATTTTTCGCACGTGTGTATTGTTATTTTACGCAACCTGACGTTTTAAAACACTATGAAAACATTCTATCTTCGAGGTTGCTGGCGGTGCGACGAGAAAGATTAATTAGTTTTGCACGCCAATACTGCCTGCCGCGCCGCGAGTATTTCCTGGGTATCGTGGAACTTCTTCATAGCGAATCCTAATTTATATCCGCCAGCAGCGTCTCGGCGTTGCGCCCCGACTATCGTCTAAAAAATATACCACCGGCGGGGTGGAGAGAAAAGTTCGCAACATCAAAACGGCGGAAGGATTTCACGACCGCAATCACCGATACGGATGCGCCCGCCCAATCATAGCGCTGATATCTATTCCTAGTTTATACCAACTTTACCAAAAAATTAATTAATAACCGGCGGAGTTTTACGTGCCAAACAACAAGAGGAAACATGAAAACCGCAAAAGTACTTGCAACTTTTCTAAGTGATAAAAATTTATTAATCTGGCTTACTTCCGATAGATGGCGTTGTTGTTTATACAAAGTTAATGTCTACTTGTAAAAGTCTCAAAAGAGTGTTAAAAACAACACATTTCGACTAAAATGAATGATGCAGATCTACTCGAACATTTTCAATTATACCTAGCATTAAACTGATATTATGCACGTGGCGCGTCCCCAAGCCCAAAATGAAGTATCTTTTATTAAAACAAGCGAGAGCATATCTCCTCGGCTATCATTCCTTTATTATACCTCGCCGCGCTGCAAAACATGGCGTCCAAGCATGTAACGTTGCATAGTTATTAACCGATTATCCGCGCAAAATCAACTAAAACCCAACTGCAGCGTGCTAACAGTGTGTTTTATACGCCATGTTATCCTAGTGTTTATAATAACGTTAGCAATCAGTGCTTGGGAAAAGGCTGACGCCGAATCTGACCCCTCGGCTTGCTGAGCGACACAGACAATAAACCCACAAGGGAGCGAGGAATGTTTCTAACGGATAACACAGATGCCCCAAAACCAGGATTCAGACCCGATAGAACATGATGCTTGCACTATGCTTGCAGTCGGCCATATTTCAGTTCTCTTTCCCTGTTTCCCATTGTTTTATGCAGTATAACACCCGGTTGTGCTGGTTTTTCTGCTTTCGGTTCGTGCAGCGGTGCTTTTTGCCATGCATTTTATGTTATTATAAGATTATAACCTTCTTTATTACTTTATCACTTTTTTTAACTGCAGCCTCTGGTATATATGGTTTTATTTTTTGCTTTTCCGCTTGAGTTCTTTTGCATTCCGGCGCCGCGTTCAATTTTATGTCGCTATTTCGCTGTTATTGATAAATTCGATAAGGAATTGCGGCACGAGCACGGAACGATGCTGGCACCACGCAGTCTGCTTGAGTTTCACCCTCTAACTACTCGTACCCTTATAGAAATAACAAGGAAAATAATAAAACAAACAAATGAACGAACGATACATCACATGCGCCAAAACTTCAAAAAGCAATAAAAATTAGAGACCGACCGAAATTTCGGTTTCGGCTAAAATCCAGTTTCGGTCGGTCTCTAATAAAAATATAAACGGAAAATTTACTTTTTTAAGTTATAAAACGTTTTTAAAAGTTTTGTAATCAAGTAAAAAATAGAAATAATGGGGAAATTTATAATATAAAAATAAATCGCAAAATCTGTTGGTAAGCGCATAACTCAACTACCCTTCGACCAATTTGGCCAATTCTTTTTTTAAAATGTTCGTTAAATGTTCGTTAAAGGATGATTTTTACGGCGAGAAAAATTCGAATAATTGCCGGGAAAACCCTAAAGACAGCCATTTTCTAAAGGATAGAAGTTGGCATGAAGATTCAATCATAGTTATAGTTAAATAGTTGAATCCGAGATGGCGCGCTGAAGTGCATTATTAGCCATTCTTTATATATGTAATTAATTTCTTTAATATAAAATAGCAAATCTTATTGATAGAATTGACACATATTAGTGAGTAACAATGAATTACATTTTTATTATACACTACTGGAACGAAGTCGCGGGCAGAAGCTAATGAAACATAAATTCCTAAATGAAACAAAAACGAGTGGAAAAAAACTAGAATTTAAAACAATAAATCACAATTAGTGTCATGCATAGAGCTTATTTTAATAATTTAAAAGAGTTATGCCTGCTATTTCCGTTTTTTATTGCGGTAAATTGTTTTGCTGGCTTACCTTTCGCCGGCCGCAGCAGAGCATATTGCGCGTGCGTGATCGACCGGATGTGATCTTCGAACGCGCCAATTTCCGCCACTGCATACCAGATTACCTCCGGGATAACAGCCACGAACTGCAACATACACAAACACAAAACATCCGCTTAGTCTTAACTCTTCACTCCTGGAATATTCCAGCGAATATTCATGAACATTCCATCATGTTGGGGATTATAAGGTGGGTATTTATGTTCATAACCTCAGGCAACCCGGAGTGATCGTAAACAAGTGAAAACAAAAACAAAACCGTTTTGCAACAAAATTAAATTACCTCGAGTTAATTATGATACTAGTACATAACTAGCAACTAAGCAACACACAATACATTTCTTGGTCGGCAACACACATTACACGCAACATTATGAATGCGATCGAAACGCATGATAATGCGTCGACATTCGCCAAACAGATTTGTTACACATTTGTTACACCCTCGAGTTGCGGTCGCCTCAAGATGCGAAAGATATAAGAATACTTAACATGCAGCATAACGCATATAATTATCGTGTTATGTGTTAATAATGATGTGCAATGTTAATTACATAGTTCAACATCACAATTTACAGTTTCCTGTAATTTATAATGATGGATTGAGTTCTTTTGCGTACATAAATTTCGTTTTACGATTTTGATGCAAATATAGATGAAGTAACAACAACAGCAACATAATTGTTAATGTCAATCACGCTATAATTGTTTATTTTTAGTTGATTTAGGTCAATTTGTGTTGATTTTCCGGGTTAAAGCCGTGTATGTTGGGTTGCGGATCGATGCGATTAATAAATTCGCGCCTCGTCATCGCGCATTGGCATCGCCATCGTTTATTATGCATTATTTGCTTTCGGCGCTGGGTAAATACGCGAATTTTGAATTTTCACCTCGTGAATGCGACGCCGTGCCGTAATTAATTTTACTTACGCCTGTGATTTGCATCGATAACGACCGGAACGTGCAAGTAACAGCACAAACGACTTGTGAATAGATAACTGACAATAAATGTTATAATAATAATAAATTGAAGCGCGGAACAATATGGCGGAGTACCGTAGCCATTTTGAAATGTTCATGCTGAGTCATCAATGAAAATTGAATAGAATTTAACAAATATTGATGATTTTTGTATGTTAAACTGTAGATAAGAATGAAACAAAACATAATTTGATGAAAATTAATTAAAAAGACATGTTTTAGTATGAAATACTTGTTCTTTGTTGATTTTGCCGTTGGAAAAACAACGAAAAACAATAGAATACTCATGAAAAGGAAGCTGAAAGAGTGGAAGCAGTAGAATCATGAAAGTACAATGCATCGGAACAGAAAATGGCGTCCGAATGACGTGCAAATGGCACTAGCTTCCGGCGTCCCTGCTTTCCCATTCCACATCAACATCAATACAATGCGAAGACGCCATCATTCAACATCGTTCACTTCATTCCCTTCATTCCATCACGTTCTATCACAACACAACGCATCAGATTCGACATTTACAATCACTTTTTCATGCTATTTATTTTTTCCTGCATTTAAACTTCATGGATAAAAATTAAAAAAAAAAGGTTTGATTCCCTAATGTGAGTTATAATGGACGCTTGAATGCTGTGTGCATCCGATGCATTCGCTAGTTAACGTTCGGTCATGCTCGTAGCGCGTCGCAGGCGCAGGACGAATCCGCATCCGGAATGATGGAATAACGAATCCGGAAGTTCTCCGCCACTCACACATACGATATATGCACGGTGATGAACGTAGATGTGCATGTGTTGCATGGTTGCAAATTACGCTACGCAAAACTACACATACGATACTCATTTACAATTCCAACGCCGCCTACTACAGCCTACTACGAAACTACGATGCAACACGCACGGCCATTAATGAACATTTCAGTTACCAACCGACGCAAAATGGAATAAAATGGTAAAAGCTCACTAAACGAATTAAACGCACGTATATTGTGTGTGTTTGGTTGTGTTATGCAATGTATGCAACTCTGTATGCATACAATAAAGTTTTGTTTCTTTAAAATATAATAAAACGCGTAAAACATGAATAAATTTATGGATATTATAAGAAATTAGTGTGTGTTAGGGTGGATGCATGAGTGATACTTTAAATTGAAGCCTGCAGCGCGGATTTTAAGCGAATCTAAGCGGATTTCTTTAGTTTTGCGCGTTTTGCGCAGCGTTTCGCACGAATCAGCAGGAAATTTACGACCAGCGCGCGGCAACTCGCATCACTCGTATGCAAAGCGCTACTCGACGCAACCCATACTGCTTCATATTTTATGCAACCCGCAGCGCGCCGTCACACTCGTCGCACGCCCATTTCGACAGTCGTAAAGCACAAGATTTTCATTGAGATATTCGCGTAAATTTAGGATTAAAAATAAAATTTTTATCGGTTATATTACTGCAGTAATAATTTTCAACTAAAAATAAATAATTATTTGATATTTAGATTAAATTAATAACAAAAATATGATTTTTAAAGGAAAATATGTAAAATTTTATGCAAAATTTGTAAAAATATTGGATTTTATACCTATTTATATGTCTTGGACACGTTTCATCCCTGCAGGACGCACCGATGATGTCCATGTCATCTCGGTATGCACCACCTTAGTTTTTACCAACCCCAGCGTGGATTTTCTTCGTTTGCGGCGGAGAAAACTCGTTTTTAAGCAGCACTTCACTCAAAATTAAATTTCATCGTTAAAACTGTGTAGTTTTTTCAGCAATGAAAAGTTATCCTCTCGCAGCGAGTTCAATGGCAGTGTGTGTGAGTGGATGAGTGTGCAGGACGAGAGTTTAAGTTCAACCCTTGCGAATGTCGCGGTTTCTTTTGGAATTCGAGTGTTTTCAGCGCGTTTTGCGCGCCCGAAACGATACGAAAACGCGTTTTTTCGGGTGTGAGCTCGTGCTGGACGATATTCGGTCGAACGGGGGTCGCGGCCCGTTGCTGCCGATGCGAGCGGGCGCACGAGTCGCGCTGGCGGCGGCGGCGAACGCCAGTTTAATCAATATTATAGTCTGGAGCCGACGCCGCCACCACCGAACCACCGCGGCGTGCACTCGCGCATTCTCTATACCAATGAAAAGACACACATTCCAACAGACAAATAGAATTTCGTGATTTTTGAACGATTTTCGTTTGGATTTAAATAAAGGAATTAATAACGCAATTATTTTAATACTTTTTATATAATTAAACCATTTTCCTAAATGAAAATCTATCAAAAACAATTAAATATTAATAAATAATGCATTTTTTATAAATAATAAATAGATATCAACAGTTATTTGATTCTAAATAGTTTTTAAACTATTTAAAAGTATAATTTTCACAAAAACGAAATAAAAACAAATTCACAGTGTTTTAATATATGCAACCAAGTATACACGAAAGCATTGCTTGGCGACTTTGGCATCAGTGGCACACTACGACCATCGACGATGCCACCCGAACTGAACACTACTTCCCATTTGTAGGCCGAGCCTGGTCGAGTGCTCATCGTGCTGCTGGTGCACGTCAGTCGAGAAGATGGCGTCTGGCAGTGCGCATCGCGTTTGTGCGTGTTGTCACGCCTGTTAATCACTACTCAACACACATTTACACCCACAAACAAACACGTTGACACCAGCAACCCAATCATTACAACTCGACCAATAAAACACCACACGCTCGTTATCACTCACTCTGATAAGAGGTGATGTGTGGAGAGGGGCGTTGAGGACATCTTCGTCGTAGCCGCCGCGTGAATGTCGCGCCCCGCCGGTGTGCAGTGCGTGCGTATCACGACGCGCGCGAACTTCCCGGAAAATTGTTATTGTGCGCCCGGAAAAGTTCACAATCGATGAGGGCGCGCGGCGCGCTGTACGAACGAACAAAACGGTTGTAATTTTTTGTATAATACATGTGAGGATTCAAACCGGAAATAACAAGATAAATCACTGTGAGTATATTTACTTATTTTCTTATTTCATCTATCATAGCGTAGACATGTGATAGGTTTGTTTCTTTTTTTGGAAGCCGTGCCTTTTTGTAGTTTATGTAGCAGAGTGTGTATGTGCCTGGCGTCGAGATTCCTAAACGCTGTGCCGATCTAAATTTATCGGCGTAATGGGTTATAATTAGGTTAGGAGACATTTCACTTGGACTTGTACTTTTCAGCCGGCGCGACTATCACGAGACATTATTTCATGCGTATTTGTTTAAACGGGTTTACGGTTTTAGGTTGGTAACACTTGATTTTGACAGATTTAACCTCCAAATTGGGGTGATTTGTATTGCCAATCGTTTAAAAAATTCACTGGGAGGTGAATTTTAGGTTAGGGTTGATATTTAAGTTGGTAACACGAATTTTTCGTAAAGAAAACCAGGATTTATTTTTTAGGTTATAACAGGGATATTTGGTTGTTGAGTGCTTATAACCTCATAATTATTTAATAAAAAGTTACACAATTTAGTGAAATAGTTGATATTTGTGTATTCACAAAATTTGATTTCAATTCAAAGAAATAAAAACGGAAACTAATTTTAGGTTATGAACCTTCAATAAATCCAATTTATAGTCTATTAATCAATCACTGACGAGAATATTAATGATATTAATGATTTCGTTGAATATTCTAGTGATTCCCTCGTAACTATTTGCGGTGGCGGTGGCGTGAGCGACACGAACGATAATTAAACTTAATTATCCTCTTTAATCTTGTTAGGAAAGGTCCGAGCACGAATTTCGCTCACACTTGAAGCTCATTCGGGCCGTTTAGACTACAGCCTTGGTTAAACCTGGAAAATCTGAGCGTCTGGGTGGTCTTCCACGAGTGTCTCGACGTAAACTTAATTTACTTCATGGAAACAAGCAAAAAGCATTGGGAAACTTGTTCATTTTCATCATTTGTTCTTTCGTAGTTTCACTTCGCTTTACTTTACTTAAGTTAATTTGATTTCTTCTTTCACAATGCTTGTTTTGCTTGTTTTCTGATGGCATTTGTTTTTCACCAGTTTATTTTTTTATTTTTTTTTATAGCAGTATAGAATTTTTCGTAAGCTGTTTCCGGCTGTTGGTGATTTGTCACAGGCGCCTAGCCTAGAATATTTCCGTCCGAAAAAAACGTTTGTTTCGACACTCACATTCACAAGCCGACATTGTTCTCCCAGTTGATTTTTATTACTGTTTTTTGCGTCCACCTAACGACCACGCATATTTTTATTTTTTATTCCACTGTGTTTATTATTTTCCAGTTAAAATCGACTTAAGTTAAGTTAAGTCAAAATTCAATTTTAAATTTTTTTATCCTTTCAATTGTAAGGTGTTGCTAAATTGTGTTATTACCATTGTATCATGATTGTACCTGGGTAGGTATAGTTATACCTACGTTGTTTCGTTAAGTCACATTATGTGCTAGTTGTGCGCGCACACCCACCCACTCATTATCCACCACGCATTCGGAACACCAACACGTTCGCTGTTATAACACACGAATTAAATTTAATTCGATATAATAAGTTGACTTAAGTCAACCTATCTTAACTTAAGTCACTTTTACGCGAAAATAAGTAATGTGATAAATATTCTGTTTGACTTTTGACCAAATTTGGTCATCTGGTCACTTGGTCATCATTAACATATCAACATAAATGTGAATCACACACTCAGTGGTAAACGGAAGGTTTACGAGCGTATGAATTGTTGTTAGTCCGATAGCTGCGAGTGATTCGCGTGTTGGTCATTTTGCAATTCGTAACTCGTACAAATCCCGTTCTCTCGCGCTCTACGTGTGCGATTGACGTCATGAAACGTTTGAGTCACGTTTTCTCGCAGCATCCAATGCTAATGTACCTAACATAATAGTTTGCCATGTTCAATTGCTTTTTTACTATTGATTTTTTACACTGATTTTAATTGATTACGACAGGAGCAATTAGAAACTTTCAAAAATCATTAAATTTAACCTAGAAATAATTTGGGTGATGATTTAGGTTAGTTTTGGGGTTTTTATGCTGGGAAAACATTAAATTTAAGGTTATGGTTGTAATAACCTCAAAAAGTCACATTTTAAAAGATTATAATTTAAAATTTTGATATTTTCTAATTGATTTGAATTTATTTTGTTAATTTTATATTATTTTGCGAAGTATTTACTGAGAACCAGCTTGATTTATGATGTCAAAGATATAATTTCTTATCTTTTTCATGTTTTTATCCGTATTTCCCAATAAATTAGTTCTATTTGATAACTTTATTATTAACTATAAACTACTAGCTTTTGCCCGCGACTTCGTCCCGGTAGTGTTTAAAAAAATGTAATTCGTTCTTACTCTCTTGTTCTAGACATAGTATGTGTCAATTTAATCAATAAGATTCGCAATTTTCTTTTAAAGAAATTAATTATATAAAGAATTGCTAATAATGCACTTCAGCGCGCCATCTCGGATTCAACTATTTAACTATAACTATGATTGAATCTCAATGCCAACTTATATCCTATAGGAAAAGGCTGTCTTTAGGGTTTTCCCGGCAATTATTCGATTTTTTCCTCGCCGTACAAACCATCCTTTGACTTTAACAAACATTTAAAAAAAAGAATTGGCCAAATTGGTCTAGGCGTTGTTGAGTTATGCGCTTACCAACAGATTTTGCGATTCATTTTGATATAGATATACTGAAACAATTTTAAAATGCAAATTAATTGAATTATTCAGGTTTATTCATCCATAAAATTTGATAGGGATTGTTATTTTTTATCGAGTGCAAGGTGCAAGGCCCAAAATCATGTTACATGTTTATGTTACCACATATGTAAGTTATACCTATAAATATTGCAGCATTACGTTGAGTACGTACTTAATTTTATGCCGGCAGCGTTGGTAGTTGGCCGCGCACGAAAATGAACCTCAAAATGAAGGTTTATGTGACATTCCTGAGTGGGTTGTGCACGGTGCGAAAATTTGCGATGCCGATGCGAGGTGCGACGACGACGACGACGATGTAATCTTAATTTAAATGTCGATGCTCGACGGGACATACGTACACGCATCGCGGCGCTTGCGGCAAGATGATTTTCTTGGCATGAATTTCCAAATTTTCACGGCGCACATACGCACGCGATATATTTCCACCTCGTTTTGTCATCGCATGCGAAGGAATCTAGAAATTGCACATTCAAATATTAAAAATGTTTAGTGTTAAAATCAACATTTCTGGTTGGAATTAGTGAAAAACATGAATGAAGCGAAGTAAACACCAACACGTTGCGATTGAAGCAGAATAAATTTCTGCATAATAATACCAATCATATAAACAAGCACGAACCGCGCACAACCCGCACGTTCGCGTCTGGTGCGCCCACGTGTTTTTAATTAATTAATCACTGACATAGACTCAGACGTCTGGCGATACAAAAAAATCTCTTTCATTCAAAGATACGAACAGACAAATTGAATTGACCAGAGATATAAAAAATATATTAAGAATTAAATGATTAGATAGATAGTCTAGCACAAGTTGAATGTGTGTTTGCTTTGGTGGGAAATGAAAAAAATGTAAATGTCAGAGTGTCAGAACACTCAAGCAGCTCAGAACCTTTTGTGGCACACCATGACCGCCCACGTCTGGAAGCATGTACGCCCCACTTAATTGCGACCACGTTTCATTTTCGAATCAAATTATTGCAGATATGAATTATGCAGGTATAAAATATCAGCGAATGAAAGAAATTTGATCAGTCAATATTGCACTAAGTTAAAAAGTTCTATTTACTCGATTGACAGTAGCTAATTATATTTCTAACGGGTTTTCCAGCTGTTTTTGTTAATAAAAAAAAATAAAAATACAAGTTATGATATATTGCAGTTGCACTTGTGTGACTTATGAATGTCAACTAGACGTCTGCAACGCGCATAAAAGCACTTGCTTCGTTCGCATGCGGCACGTTTTAATTTTGCTTTTTAACGACCTCGCATGAACTTCTCGCGTTCTCGGCGGCGGCTGTCTGCTTCCGTCTGTCTGTTTTGTTTGCACATCCACATGCACGTAGATATCTATGTTCATGACTTCCGGATGAGCTAATGTGGCGGCTTTCTTTCCCGAAAATTCCCAAGTAATTTAAACTCCATGCGCATACATCATTTCATACAGTGTGTTTATAAAAATTGTGATTCATAGTTTAAAATTACATTAATCTGTATTATTTATGTTTCGTATTTTTATTTTGATGATTCAATTTTTTTGCTTGTGTATTTTCGTGCAGCAGTGTCCTTAATGCAATGAGAAAGTGAAAAATTATCTCATTTGTGTTTTGTGCGCGGGGCGACGCACGACAGACGACCAGTGCGCGAGTTGAGAAGAGATGCTCTCTGCCTTTCGCTAAATTTAGCTGAAAGCTGTGGGCGCCCGCGAACACGCACGCCAACCGGCGGCGGCAGCGGTCGTGTGTTGGCCAATGCAGGACCGGCAGAATATGCCGAAATCTTGGAATGTCGAAAGTGTCGAAACGTCCAGAAAAAACATAGTTTTACATCAAGATTTTAGATTTTAGGAGTGATTTAAGTCAAGTTTATTGACTTAAGTATTATTACTTAATTTCCAGACTGTAACAACCACAATTTTGATATTTTCTGAGAAATTTCTACAAAAAAAATCAGTTTTCTAGTTTTTATTATACTTAAGACCAAATATTAAGTGTCTTAAGTAACTTCTTTTGATTGTAAGCCATTGCGTTTAAGTTAAGTCACTCTTTGGTTTGTCTTGGATTCTCTAGGATTGTCGCCATCAATTGTGACTCTATTCTTGTTGCGTGTTGATCTTTTCGGTCGGTTTGTTGCGCTTGGGATTGAGTTGAAGCCGTCGTGCGCGTTATTTGATTTTATATTTTGTTTGCGACCGTGCGAGGCACGCATCGTTTGCGACGATCAAAAATAGATGGACGCGATGTGCGATCGGGAGCCATCGGAAGCTTCAGAAAGCGCGTTGCGGCCGCTTTTAACGCATGTTTAATCCATGCGCATGCCGCTATTTCTGACTCATGCGCTTTTATTGTCTCGTACGAACAAATGACGATCGACAATGTCACTCTATAAGATGTAGAATATATTCAAAAAGTTTCTTAACCTCAAATGAAGATGACAGGTTTTTAAAATGATGAAATAATTTTGTTTCAGCAAAATGGTTGTGGGCGAAGCGATGATCAACAACATCATGGGAGGCATAGAGAACACGGGGAGTGTTCGCCTCCACAATCACAAACGCAAATTAAAACAACGGTAAATGCACTTTTCCAATAAATTTACTACTTTATAGTTGAGGTTATGTGTTCATTAAACTAAATTTTTTCTCTTTAAGATTCGATATAATAAAAAAGCTGGGGCAAGGCACCTATGGCAAGGTGCAGCTCGGTATCAACAAGGAAACAGGTCAGGAGGTCGCCATCAAGACGATAAAAAAGTCCAAAATCGAAACGGAAGCGGACCTGATACGAATACGACGCGAGATCCAAATTATGTCATCAGTGCAACATCCTAATATAATACATATTTACGAAGGTAAACATAAACAAAAGGCGTTTTATAATAAAATATCTAAATTTGTTGTTTTTCTTTGAATAGTTTTTGAGAATCGCGAAAAAATCGTTATCGTAATGGAGTACGCCGCCGGCGGTGAACTCTACGATTATCTTTTTGTACGAAAAATGCTTCCGGAGGACGAGGCGCGGCGCATCTTCCGACAAATTGCCACAGCGTGTTACTATTGTCACAAACATAAGATTTGCCATCGTGATCTTAAGCTTGAGAATATCTTACTCGACGAACACGGCAGCGCAAAAATCGCTGATTTTGGTTTGTCGAATGTTTTCGATGACCATCGCCATTTGTCTACGTACTGTGGTTCTCCGCTTTACGCCTCGCCTGAGATTGTCAAAGGCACACCTTATCATGGACCGGAAGTTGACTGTTGGTCTTTAGGAGTGCTATTATATACGCTCGTTTATGGAGCGATGCCTTTTGATGGTAGTAATTTCACGCGATTGGTCAAGTCTATATCGCAAGGAGAATATTTCGAACCACAAAATCCTAGTCCTGCTTCCGGTTTGATACATGAAATGTTAACTGTGAATCCAAAAAAGCGCGCGGATATTGAAAAGATTTGCGCGCATTGGTGGGTGAATGAAACCTACGACGAATCGTGTTTAGATATCTCAGAAGATCTGGCTAATCAGACACCGGTACGATTAGATGTTCTTCTGAGTCTGAACCCACCGCCAGCACAACTCGAAGCTGATAAATTAGTAGTTACCGGTGATCAAGGAGCGGAGGAAGTAAAGGCTGAACCATTGGTGGCGCCACCTACACGGTCACAGTCTGTTGGATCTATTATGGAGATTAGTTCACCGGAAAGGCGGATACAGGAACTTATTGCCACTGATAAGGATAAAGTTACACCGAAAAGAAAATTGGAAGCTACGGTTAGCACGGAGAAAGCGAATGTGCCTCAAGATGGAAAACGGAAAGAGAAAATTGTCAAGGAGAATACGATAGCGGATATTTCTGCACCAGCGGCAACGTTTGAGGAAGATGTTAAAATGGCGGATGTTGAGGATCCATCAATGCAGGGAGCGGCATGTGCGGAGATTATTGAAGAAGCTAAGATTAAGGAAGCTACAAGGAAACAAGCTAGTCAAGTTAAAGATGTAAAAGATCCAAAGGAAAAAGTGAAACGAACAACTTCGGTAAGTCTAAGTACCAAAGTCTTGGAGGAGATCAACGAGAATCCAAGTCAAGAAAACATCGCAGTTATGAAAGAAATTAAGGAAACGAAAGAAAATAAAGAGAATAAAGAAAACAAAGATGTAAATACAAATAAAGTTGAAGTCAAAGATGTGAAAGAAGATGTTAAAATAGCGGCAACTCCAGAAAAGAAGAAGAAGAGTGTCAGGAAAAAGCCTGCAGCTCTAGGTGAGAAGAACGAAACAGTCAAAACAAAATCGGAAGTACAGAAAACAGATACACCTGCTATCGAAAAAGTAGAAATTCCAAAGGAGACTCCAAAAGAAGTTAAAACTGAAAAAGTTGAAAAGAAAGAACCCACGCCCCCGAAAGAAGCTCCTGCAACAGCTCCTCCTACTCCAACAACTCCTTCAAAAGTTCCAGAACGAAGGCAAAGCCGAATTTTCGAACAGGCAGAGAAATTCCAAAGTCTAATCTCAACCGGTGAAAAGGAAAAGAGTCCAGAGAAACAACAACCAAAGAAAATCATAATTCCTGGTGTTAGTGTAGGCGGGTTTAAGAAGGAGTTTGAAAGGAAAGCAAGCCTCACAAGCACATCCCCTCCCAAATTGAGGGGAGCCGCCTCCAAGAAGTTAATCATCGATGATAAGAAAGATAGTATTGATTTGGACAATGAATCTACTCCTTGTACACCCGGTGTGACAACACCAACAGTAACATCACCTGTAAAACCAACAGAAGTGAAACCTAAAGTTGAACCAGTGAAAGCAACACCAATAAATGTAGAACCCACGCCAACAAAAGTCGAAGAGGTGGTTCAGACTGAATCGGAAGCACCAGTTGAAGACGAACGTAAAATCAAGATGAAAAACGCCGTGAGTATAATCTCCAGTGCGTTGGATAAAGAAGGCGCACGGAAGTCAAAGTCACGTCCTTGTATGGTACGGAAACCGCCAGTGCCTTTCGGTGTTAGCGGACGTTCTGCTTCCGGCAGCATTGGTGTAATCCCACCTATTGCCCAACCAACACCTAAGCCATTCACAAGGGCTATATCTTCACCCACTCCCAATTCTTCCACACCAGAAGTTGCAAAGTCTCCCGAATCACCACTGTCTCCTCCAAGTGAACAAACATCCTCAGCGGAAATAACTCTTAAATCAGCTACTCTTCCAAGGAGAAAGTCCACAAAAGCACAGATACAACTTGACTACCCTAAACCCAAACCTGCGACAATGGAATTCAAAACTGAGATGTCACATCATGTTCAAGCCCCACCTGCTACACCTCAACAACGAAGTGAGGTTACCGTACCCATTACCAGTCCACCACCCTTTATGGGCTTCAGATCTGTATCTGTTGGTGCTGCTCCAAGTCATGCGGATATCGACGTTAGGAAAAAAGAACATATTATTCCTATTTCTTTCGAGCGTCCTTTGAACTCGAACTTGAGAGAAAGGGAAGAGCCTATTTTGTCACCACCGACAAAACCACCTGTGCCACGTGGTTTCCAATCACAGCGATCGTCATCTTCACAAAGGACAAACTCATTATCGCGACAATCCACACAAGAAAGTGATACAGAAACCTCAACAACAGGTGAACCTATTAAGAAATCACCTCGGGAGTATATCATCCCTATTGCAGTGGAAGGTGGTGGATATGTTACACCACGTGCGGGTAGTCTTGAACCTAGTGACACGTCGAGTACTGTTACCAATAGCAGTCGGTTATCTAGTTCCAAGTTTAGAACACCCCGGCGAATGATGTCGCTGTTTGATCGTGATGGATCTGAGGACGAATCTCCATTTAGTAGTCTTCATCGGCATAGTTCCTTTGGGCGTGATAGCGATGCCGAAGGAGAGGGTTCAAAACGAGATATGTTCCACATGCACAAACTACGTAGTTCTCGACCAAGGAAGAGCACCACAGAACATGCGGATTCATTGAGTTCCGGTGAGGATGATGATGATGACGATGGTTTCGAGTTTTTGACAGCTGAGAATTTGTTCTCGACTTTATTGTCAAGGGTAAGTTTAATTAAACTATGTTTATATTATTTTTTAAACTTTATTCTTGTAATTGTTAGGTTAGAGACTTAACTCATCGTTTAAACGATGATCCAGCACGTCCAGTGTTCCCCAACAGTCGATTCTTGAGCCATTTTGATCACGGTTCTAAGTTTTTCCCTCGAATGGAATCCCTGGGCACGTCACGGTAAGACCCTGTCAATTTTATGACTAACCCACGTCTACTAATCTACTCCTCGTGTTGTGATTGATGTTTCAAGCTCGCATTACACGTTCAGAGAGATGCGCTCGCTGATGTAAGCCTGTATACTCTGTATGCATTTAGGTTATATTTTTATTTGCTCAGCAATATTTTAATTTCCTCTTTTTTTGCGTTACAGAAACTCACCGCATGGTAGACAATTCAGCCGTGAGCGCAGTGTGAACAGTACCACACCATGGCGACGCAGCGTCAGTCGTGATCTGGCGACTGATATCAACAGCGTCTTCCAGGATTCTATGCACCCTACCCATACAACTTCAAGCTCCACCTTACCGCGTGGAGGTATGTATTCACGGCAGTCTGATGCATCTTGCATTTTGCACCCGTTGCACCTTAGGTAGTTGGAATAGACGTTAGTGGCTGGTACGAGGCGTTGCTTGGCAGTGAGGCCACGCCTAGGTATATTGCAAAGGCGTGGTGACTCCACCTTGGAACTCCTCGGGAATTTATGTTTATGTAAACGTTAAGAGGAATGTGACATAACCGCCTGTGCCCGCCCGGTAGAGTAGTGTTTACGTTTTACTAGTTTGTCATTTTTTTTTCGTTTTGTTGAACGTATTTTTACGCAAGACGAGACCATCTTGATTTTTGTGCGTATTACACACTACAGGGAGCGTTGTATTACGTTCTTTTTTTGTTTTTTTTTGACGTCTGCAACGCCCCGCCGGAAGTCTCCTCCGCATGTGAGTCGTCGATTGTGACTGACCGGCGGTTTGTCGTGTGATTGCAGGGCGCGTGCGCGTGATGATGCATGTGCCCGCCGCGAGGGGCCGTGAGGGCACCACACACTAAAATTACACCAACCCCCCGTACAAAAAAGCAATCAATCTCCACCTACTCTACTCTTAAACAAACAAATCCACCATCATAAATGATATCACCACCAACCCGCGCGCGCCACGCCCACCCAACGATCTACCGACCGATCTACTGATGCGATTTTCGGTAGGAGGTGCATGTGTATGTTGACTTTCGTTTGTTTTTGCGCGTTGTTGAAGATTGTTACTGTTAACAAACATAAAAACACGTTTTGCTTGTCATTGTGGTGGTCCTTGATGAAATACGCAGTTATATACAATATGGCGACAGGTAAACTTAGAGAAAACAGGGCTGGACTTACTTTTTTTATTTTTACATAATTAGGAATCATTGTGGCTTCTTTTTGTTGTCGATGTGTTTTATTTTGATTTCTATATTTCACTATCTCACGTACACATGCTTTTCCTACCTACAAATCGCTCGCGTGCATTGTTTGTTGTTTATTTTTTGGTAGGTTATAATATGTGGCGTCATCTCTCGACCAAAGTTTGATACCATTAATAATGTTAATGTTTTTTGTTTTTTGTTTGAAGAATTGAGTTGATTTTTGATCGTACTAATTTGTTGTCGTTTTGTTTCGTTTGTTTTTTTGCACCCCCCTCAAATACCGACACGCCTTCCGACAGCGGATTGGGCAGATTTTCACATGCTAAGGTACGTGCGACGCCATTTTGTTTATTTTTCTTTTCTGTTGATGATGATTGTGTAACCAAACTAATCGAGTGAAGGTGTCATGGATAAGACAGCGTGATGATGATTTGTGGGGGATTGTGATTTCAGAAACCGAAGCACAATTGCATCTCGAGGATTTGAATCTGAAAAAGCTTAAGCTCACCGAAGAGGACGCCCTCGCGCTGTCGTACCTCACGCCTGGATTGTCACGCAGGATCCAGAAGCAATTATTTGCGTCGTTGCCTCCGTCCGAAGCTAAGAAGATATCACGCACTATGAGCATGCGTGAAGAAGAACGCGATCGACAAAGTATGCCTCGTGAGGAGTTGAGTGCGAGGAGATCTTTGGATCGTGCTGCAGGAGGGGCATCAACGCTGCCGAGGAGGTTCTCTTACGAAAAGCGATGCAGCAGCCAACAAAATCTTACCACTAATACTAACAACAATAATACTACCAATGGGAGTGATACCGATAGGACGCCATCTTTATATGGGCGTGATGTACGGGATGTGACGTCACCTTATGACACTGATAGATCATCAAGTTACGACTCCACTGCCAATGCAACAAAAGAACGACCACGATATTATCGTGCTACTAGTCTCCGTGAGCCGAGCGACTTCCGGACAAAGTTCCATTCTTATTCCTTACGAAGTCCCGAGGCAAGCATCGCGGAGATTTCCTCATTAAAAGACGACGAGTCGCCCTTAAGCACACCTTTATCTAAGTACATGCACACCAAGCCAATCGAAAAGGATAAGAGTGAGAAACCAGCCCGGAGAATCTCGAGATTTTTACGTCCTGACTTTTTCGATCCACCTAAAGAGGATAATGTCGTCTCCAAGGAGAAAAAGGAACGCGAACGTGAAACTCAACAAGTCCTCAAGGAGATTCGAGATAAACGAATTAAAAATCGCTTGAATCTCAGACGTGAGCGCTCGTTATCGAAGGAAAAAGACATTGACACTAGTGAAATAAAAGAAGTCAAGGATGTAAAATTCGACACGGAGGAAAAACTGATAAAGTGTAAGGAACTTGTCGAAGCGTTGAAAAAAGTCGATAAATGTGAGAAACCCGTAAGAAAATCACCACCGAAGGATGTTCCTACAGTGTCTACAACTACCCCTGCCCAAACTCCGACACAGATTCAAGATGGCGTCGTAACTAGTAATGGAGTTAAGTTTAACGAAACAATCAAAATTGAGGAAGATTCTAAAAATATGAAAGAGACTGAGACGTTGTTGAAGAATGTTTCCGATAACATTAAAAATATCGAAACGAATGTGTTATCAAGACAACAATCGCAGGAAACTAAAAAAGTATCGAAGTTAGTGCGACCGAAAAGTTATCCAGCGGAAAATGGGGTTAAAGATAAATCTCCCGAAGGCACTGCTGAAGTAGTAGTCAAGAAAGTTTCCAAACTCAAGAAACCTTCTTCAACAACGGTCAAAACGAAAGATAAGTCTGATAAGGTAGCTTCACCGGAAAAGGTTGAGAAATCCCCAGAGAAAACGGAAAAGTCAGCTTCAACTAAAAGTAAATTTCTACAATCCATTGAGAAGAAGTTTGAAAAGCTTCGTTCACTTTCCGTCGACGATAAACCAAAGGAAAAGTCTAAGGTCAAAGTGCCCAAGGATGAAATCGTAAGTCCTGATACAGCAGCCGCAGCACCGAAAGCAGTCGAATCAGCTATAAAACGCTTACGTGAACAAAGCGTTCCGAAAAATATGGATCACATGACTGAATCAACTCTTATCAAAAGAGCTGTGTCTGTTGAAGACTTTTCCAATGTTAAAACCACAAATAAATCACTACAACCATCGCGGAAGAGTGTTTCGAAAATTCTAAACTTATTCAAGAAGTACGAAGACAAAGATAAGGATAAACCGACTGAGAAACCAAAAGATGATTTAGGCGATATTAATGAATCGAACATACCGGCGTTTAAGCCACGTCCAGTGACCACGCCAACTCGGGAAGTGCGTGATGTAACATCTCCTGAAAATGGTGAACGACCCAAGTCCACATTTATGGATAAAATGAAGAGATATAATGGTTCACGAAGTGATAACGTACTCAATAATACAATAACCGAGAAAGTTGAACGTAAATCTACGAAACTTCCATCATACCGGAAAAGTACGAATGTTGAAAATCGCAATGGTGATGACTTGAGTAATAATAACGTTGAAGTGATTGGTGCTGATGTGAATGGAGTGAATACTGATAGACGTAATCTAAAATTAGATCTTAAGAATATGAATACGCCGGCTTCCTCGGAGTCTTCCGGTATAGGACACACCCAAAGTGGTGATTACAACATCAATCGCATTTCGTATACGACCGATGAGAGTTCCACTCTGTTATCTCCATGTGATGAGACTTTGAGTTGTGATTCATGGTCAGTTTGTTCAGATTATCACCAACAAGATTTATTATCACCATTGTCACCAAATGGTAACACCTATTCAGGTTCCGGTGATGAGAATGAGTCTGTTATTGATCGTATACGACGTAAGTCATTCTACACCAGGTTTAATGAAAAAAAGAAACCAAGAAAAGCGAGTTTAGTTGGTAACTATAAAGATTTAGACCTTTACAAGGATTACAGTCAACGAACAGTCAAATATAAACCTAGTATGACCTCATCATTGGACTATGGAGGTAGTTATCGCCGAAGCAGTGGATATTCTTCTTCCGGCGAGGGTGATCTTGAGTATAGACCATATGTGCGGAGCAAATCAGTGTCCAATGACTATGTCAACGTACCCAATCGTTACCAGACGTATAATCCGAGGAGGACCAACATTGCTTCATTGTACTCGCCATCAGAAGAAAGAAGCCGAGGGTATGATGATATCACGACTGGTGGTGGGACGTATAAAAAGTAAGACATTCATTACACTACACATGCCTGCCAACTAATCCTATGGAAAATTATTCAACTGCAATACTAAAAAAATCAACATTGCTTACATTACAGATACAATTACAATCAGAACAACGCATCAAGCTCATCACGCATGAGTAGTTCAAGCAGGTCGAGTCGATCACCAAGCGCTGACATCCCACACAGAACCGGGATTGGTTTCCATCGCACATCGACTACACCTGAACACTCAATGTCCCCGCCAATGATGCCCGATACGCCTCCAGTGCACGCAAACAGCAATAATATTACTGAGCACATGGTTTAAACACTCAAAACAGAGGTCTTATGCTCTAATCTAGGATGAGAATCTATTTTACTATATTTCAATGAATATTCCAGTCAATTACGATTTACTCGAGCAAACGAGCACTTAACTAAAACGAAATACTCTTAAACAAGTTACAAACATTTCTCAGTGGCCAAAATATACTGCGAGACACAAGACAAATCATTTTGCTTATCGTTTCATGCGCAAAATGCATCTGTTTGTACATACTTAACAACTTTTGTTGTTTTACTTTTGTTTTGCTTTAAAAGAATCACTCACAACACACACACGAATAATACTTATGTGAGTATACACACACCTTTTGTAGCTTTCTTTTATTTATTATTCTTATTGATTATTTATTTCGTACTTCTAGAACGATTAGGTGTTAAGATAATGTTTAAGTTAAATGAATATTGTTGCAATATTTATAATAATGGAAGCATTAAAAAAGATTGTTAACATTTTTGGCATATCTGGTACGGTGAGCGAATCAAAAGTTTTCGAAACGAACAAAATTGAACCACGCAAGCAAATATTAATATATTAATTGTTAAAATTATATTATGATATATTGTAATGTTGATTAATTGATACTCGTCGCGGGTCGAGTAAATTTTAGGTTAACTATTGCGACGCCATGATGAGTTAAGCGTTAAGTAATGTATGTTAACACACACGATGCCATTCGATATTAGGTTTATATAAATTATTGATATGATTAGAAACGATTGTACCGCGCATATACATATATTTTGAGTTTGTGTGACACCGACGTTGAATTTTGTGATTTTATAAAATTGTCAAGAAAATAATAATGAACGACATTGAACGAGAATGAAAAACCAAACAAAAAACGAATAAAAACAATGAAAAACATTTTAATGAAAGGGGGTAGTAATACTGTTAAGTGTCCTGCAATTGACACGTGATGCCACAATAGTTTTCGAATTCCTTCAGTTTCACTTCGGATGTATCGAGACGTGAAAGGAAGATCATGGCGGCTGTAGAAACAAAAGAGTATTTAGGTTATATTGAAACATTTTAAGGTTATATTTGTTACCTTCGAGTTGTATTTCATTTTCAAGCAGACCTTGGCCAATGTAACGAGCGATAAGCTCCAAATGCGGATGTAAACCAGCGCGATATTTCGCAACAAGGATACGAAGCAGACTCACTTGGTTGGATGATAAGGTACGACCACTAACGGACGCTTCCTTTTCAGCAACTGTGTACACATTGACGAAGAGAGTCTTCAATTGCTTCTTGACAATCTTTTCTTCGTTTTCTTCATCTTCAAACTGCAATCAAACAAAATATTTCACATTAGAGAAGATTAAGATGGGTTTTGACGATTGAGAGTCGGTTGGGCATATCCTAACCTTATCCTCTCCGAGAATATTGATCATCTGTACACGCCCAGCTTCCACATCTTCCAACACCCGGAGAAACCCATCAAGACGAATCGCATTGTTGATTCGTTTGTTAATAATCGCTTCAACCAACTGCAGAAAGTATCGCATTGTCTCCGGGCGCGATTTATAAGCGACCAAATACAGCAGTGTACCTTGAGTGGTGGTGATCTTATTGATCCATACCCTGGCCTCCAAACAAACACTTGCATCTCTTACCAACGACCCCACACAAAGGAAAACACAATTATACACTCACCTCAGTAATGGCAGCTAACAAACGACTCCGAATATCGTCGTCCTTCAACGCATTACTAGCTTCATCCACCATGAAGCCCAGGGCTAATAGAAAATCCAAAGGTGTCTCCCGTTCTGAAAAGTCTATGATACTTTCAGTGTTTTTCAGCATATACGGAGACATCTTAATCTTGTCCTGTTTGTTGATGTGGAAACAAGCATCTCCAGAGAGCATGAGGTTATCGGGGCGGAACCCGCGCGCGAAGCATGTACCAATATCGTCTGGTCGTACGGTGGTGTCGGTGGTGATGTGAACTAGTGGTTTAGGTCGGTCGCTGAACCTCGGACCACGCATTCGTTCCTCTTCACTGCGTTCCGGGCGCGGCTGTACCTGGAGGTCAGGAACCACACCCGAGTTAGCTGCCAGCATCTGGTCCTGGTGAAAGAGCTCGTCATGGGAGAGACGGCCCGCGATGGCGTCTTTTCGCTCATATTGACTCAACAATCGATCGAAAATCTCATGGTCTGTATAGGACCTTATTTTGGAACTTACTTCCTCTGATGAACGCACTGTTTGGTCCTCACTATGGGTTTCTACACTTGTTTCCAGTTCGACAGTCTCCACACTCCCATTGGATGATATGCGTATAACGCCTGCACTTTTTCTGGGCAAAATCACATCTGATTCACTTTTGTCGGGTTTTCCTTTTGGAGAACCAGGAGCAGTTATCACAGGCGGGGTTTTCTTACGTGGTGATTTGGTGACTTGAATTGGTTTATCTCTTTGTGAACTCTTTGCTTGCATGGCAGCTACTTTATTCGCGTAGGATTTAGGACAACCCTGAACTAATGGTTTGCACGCACACTTTTTATTGCCCATTAGGACATCTAAAGGCATCTCTTTGAAATCCTCATATTGCTTGCGGTAACCTTTCTGTCGTTTGGCAGCTTCCATGAGGACTTTACTAGCGTACTTTTTGCATTGTTCCCTCTGTTGTTCATAAGGTTGCATACACGGGCATTCATCTTTATTCTTTGGACCCGCAGGCATACACTTGAATGATTGTTGACAGGTTTTGTGACACGCTAGTGGTACTTCTGTTTGATCAGATGCATTTTGTTTATTGATACACCAGGGATCACAAGGTTGTCCTGCCTCACGTTTTTTCTTTCTAAAGTTGAACCAGAGAACAGTTTTGCTCTGAGAGTACGGGGACTTTTCTTCCTGGTCAAATTCCTCATCAGGATACAACTCTTCTTTTACACCTCTGTTAGAAAAGTTTTCTGATCTTGCTATAGATTCTTCAGATATGATACAAGCAGGGGATCTTGTATCAATTCCGGCCAAACTTTCTGAAACACTTGTATCTGTATCAAAATACTTCTTTGCTTTGATCTTATTCTTAAACACTTCAAACAAAGTCTTTTTCTTGAAAAAGTTTTTGAAAGTGTTGGATTTCTTTGAGCTTTCATAACCACTTTCATTTTTGATTGCGACGTCACTCTCAGAAGGTGTAGGAAAACTTCGTTCTGACTTAGAATCCATGAGGGTTGTCAAAGTATGATATGCGCTTGATTCATGGCGTTCACAACTAAAGGAAGCTCCTCTAGAATTACTATCTTTGGAACTTTGTTTATCCATTTGTCTAAAATCTTTAGGATCCTTCTTTGAGGTGTAGTTAAATATCAAATTACTGCATTCCCTATCATTGCAATTGAATGAAGTCAACTTAGGTTGAGGTTTGTTATCAGGTAAAGTCATGTTTTCTAAACTTTTCATTACATCTCCATATGACGGATATGCAGTTCCTCTTCGTACAAGTACAGGACTCAGGTCAGCAACACCAATTTCTGGTTTTTCTCTTTCTTCAGATACTTTAGTTAAAGATGTTCTGCTAATAGTAGATCTTCTACGTTTCGGAGAAGCAATTTTTTCTTCTTGAATGGTCATTAGTTTAGCACTCGTTGAAGTTTTAGGTTTTTCAGATTCTTCAACTTTTGTATTCTCGGATGTAGACGTAGAAGGTTGTGGTGATGCTTTAATTTCAATTTTAGGTTTATTGTGAGTGATAACTTCGGTGTTATACACCAAGTAATTTCTTTTAGGAGGTTCAAAATTAAAGATGGCCGTCAACGGACATAAATCAGGTGCACGTGACGTGTCATATTCTAAACTATCTTCACTTGTAATTGTTAACTTGGGAACAATCTTCTTTGGAGTTTGTACTTTAGTTTTGTTATTGTTCGCTATGAAGAATGGTTTATTACTGGGTCCTGGACTTTCAGAATCTGATACTTCTTCAACAACTCTCTTCCTATGCTTTTTAAAACTCTTTTGATTCTTATTATGTTCATTATGTTTCTCAGGATTATTTCGAAGTTTTAAAGAAGAAACAGATAAAATCACTATTTTAGATTCTTCAGAACTCAATTCAGATATAGATTTATCTTGACTTAAGTCATTCTTAGCTTTATCATCTTTAACATCTTTGGTTAAGTGAATATAGTGTAGAAGCATATCATAAATGGATTTGGTTTTCTTTTTGCTATAATGGACTTGACTAACTTTTGATTGTAATTTGTGTTTTGGTTTAACAATCCCGTGATGGTGATGATCTTGATGTTGATTTTGTGGATGACTTTGATGATATACTCTTGGATTATATGCTTCATCATTTCTGTTAATATTTAACGAAGGGATACTCTGTGGATATGGACTTGTGCTGCCAATATCAGAAAGTTTACTACTCATACTTGTAGCACTCGAAATGAAACCTTTAGGGTTCTTATAAACACTCCTGACTTTTGTCGGAGATAACGCATTTTTAACATTTGGTTTTCGTGTTGTTTTCGCAGGTTTCTCTTTATATCTTTGGTGTCTCTTTTTGAGGGAATCAGAATATATTTTTCTACGTTGAAATGAGGACTTTGATGCTTTTGATTTCTTTCTTTTAGGTTTGGTATCTTTAGATTTATGATCCTTTATATAGGTACGTTGTCTATTTAAAACTTTAGGTGGATTTGAGTTATTAGAAACATTAGAAACATCATATGACACTAATTCACTTTTAGAATCATTCGATATTTCATCATTTAACATTTTCTTTTCATTTTTAATTGCAATTTCCTTACTTACAGAATCATCCTGTCCCAATCTGTGTAAAATCTCATTTAGGCACTTCTCCAATGCAGCAATCTCTTTATTATGATGTCTGATAGTCTCCTTATTAATATTGATTTTCTCAGCTAGAGAATCTCTTTCATGACTTAAACTCTTCGACCTTGTCTTTTTAGTGTGATGATGCACTTCTCTAATAGATCCTGTTGACATCACAGGATGACAAGATGGATGCGGTGTAGGAACACGTGCATATGAACAATTCCGATGCTTCTGATGTGGTCTATGTTTCCTTGGCGATTCTCTCTGTGTTACTTCATAAGGAGAAGTCGAAAAGTTTTCACCACCTGATGTGTAAATCTCTTGCTTATTCCTGTTTAGAATCATTTCATCTTGATGAGCATGAGTCATGTCACACCTAGTTTTAGTTATAGGTTTCTGTTTCTGTTTTGCAATACTCTTAGCTTCTTTATAAGCCGTAAAATCTGTTTTCTTTTGGAACTTCTCTTTAAATATGGTTATGTTACTCTCACTTTGTGAGATTCTCCCAGTTTGATTCGCTTGTACACTTGAAGCAATGTTATTAAGTTGAGGTATTGCAGCTTGAACTTGAATATCTTTATAAGTTGTAACACTTTGATCAGGACAAAAGTTACAATCAGTAGATACACCAATTTCTCGTTCGGATCTTATATTTAATTCTTCTTCAAGATCATCTAACCCTGTTTGTATAGCCATGTCTTGTTTTGTGACCTTTGACTTCTTCTCGCGTTTCTTTCTATCTTTTAACTTCTTTTTAGGTAGCTCCTTATTAGACCAAGACTTTTTCTTGAATTTGTAACTTATTTCACTTGATTCTTTATGTCTAAATTCACTGATTGTGTTGTTAAGACCACCCATGTAGGGATACAGACTACCAGAACCATCAAATGTCCTTAATGATTCATTATTATCCCCTCTACCATGGCATATACTCTTAGACTTCTCCATACTGGCTTCAAAATACCAAATCACTTTTCAAATCAATTATTATTATTATAATTGGTAAGTCCCAGCCACTTGTAGATTAAACATGTTTTCATTTTTGAAAGTGTATTGTTAGCATTTTCCAAGGATTCCGTCGTACCTGTCTAAGTGGTTCTCATTAACCCTTCTGCAGTGGAAAAGTGACTTTTTGATTGCATAAGCCCCAGCTATTTTCACTCATCTCTATCAGTGGGACTACCAAGAGTCTTATGAAACCTTATTTTTCGAAATTGCCCTCCCTTTGCTTGGGATCTGCCTTCTGATACCTAGCTAGTGTATGAGGTATTCCAAAAATTTACCTGACGAATTGGCTCTGTTTGTTATAATTTTATTCCATCCTGACCCGTGCATTATATCACGAGCTTAGTTGTTTGTAGAAAGGACATCTGAATCTAACACCACCATAACGCTTTAGAACAATTGCATTATATGTACAGAATTTTTGTGATCATCAAACAGAAGGAATTTACCCTATTCCCCATGGAGCCACAACCATAGGGTGGACCCAGAATTCCCAAGTAGAAACCGATGTTTGGTGTCAAAGTGGCCACTCTTGCAGAATTCACATATTGGTAAATATTTGGTGTCAAATTTAAATCTTGAGAAGACAATCCTTTTCCTTGGAGGACATTTGTTCCATTTGGAAATCCCTTGGAGGCCTGGTCTCCAACTGGTACATTCTTTATTCTTAGTTTGAAACGCAGTTGTAAACCTTTTTCATTCCTTAAGTTCCTGGTAATTCCTAATAATTTTTTGTGATTAAGGCGTATTATCATTCCAGTACAGCTAAGTATGTTATGCCCTTCTACTTTATCTCGGTGAGAAACTTGTAAGTCTCAATGCGAGTTTTTACCTTTTAATAAGGTGTCCTCAGATATCGAATCCAGTTTCCAAGATAATAGTATTTTCGTAAACTGTAATAATATCTACTTTGTTTCTTTGATTTGTTTTTCTCTTTGTTTTCCGATCAAAGATTCTCTGTATGTTTCATGATAGCGTAGTCACCGTGGAGTAATTGTGATGATTTGAGATCGGGGACATATCTTATATTAACTTCCCTATTTCTGTGCAATGCTCTTGATTCCCTTTATTATTGTTTCTTGAGTCTTCATTTGTAATTTGAGTACTATCTCGAGAATCCTCTCAAGTACCTCGTCGACTACAAGGGTTTAGCTTGAAAGAAAGTCTTAAGTTTCACTATCCTCGCAAGAGTCGTGGAATCGTTCTTTTCTCACAATGCTTGATTTATCACCTATCACTTAATAATTGAATGTTTCTTTCATCCCGGACAACATCACGTGACTTGACCTTTGTGTGTTCACGACGGATGTTCTTTCAGTTTAATGGTTTTGAAAAGCCCTGATCTCTTGTTTATTAACATCAACCAATGATTCGTTAATTTTTCTTCACATGCCGTGAGACGAATACCAATCTCTTACCAACCGACTTTACCCTCCTTGACTTTGAACTGATCCCTTGGAGCAAGCTGATCCCTTAAATGACGTGTTTGTTCCTGCTGGATCGCCAAGTTTTGCGTAAGCGGCACAATGATACAACCCGCAGTAAGCTTCGGTTATTCTTCCTATGCAATTTGTTCGATCCACGACCGCCGCTCAAGGCGCTTGGTTTCTGGGGACTATAGGTCGATATTAAATGGCCGGCTATGCCCCTGCTATATTCGGATTAACCCCTTATCGACCGGTATCCATCATTTCACCGTTTGCTTGCGCAGGTAAGTCGATCTATCGCGCGTCTGCGAAGAATTTTAACACAATTTCCAGCATCTTAATCCTACCATACCATATTCACAAAACAACCTGACGAGACAAAAATTTCAAACGGTCTTTATATTTGTCATGGTTACCATAGAAATGAGGAAAACATTTTTATAAATAAAGGACCTTCAAATGAGATTGAGTCATAGGAGGAAGTCAAAAGCCTGTACCTGAACTTCTAGAAGACTCAAGCAGTGGTGAAATGGGTGCGCATTAGTTTCCCCCCACCACGGTATCAGGGTTACTTGTAGATATAGAAAGGCAGCGCGCAGTGCGCCGCGCGCTCAGTAGTGCCTAAGTCGTTTGTGAGTGCAGTCGTGTTTTTATTCCTCTCCATTTGGGTCGTGAGATGGCAGGTGTTAAAGGTAAGTGAGTTTCACACAATAAATAAAAACACAATATTTATAGATAATATACAATTTATTGTTTTTCATTTTGTACAAGTATTATATGTACAATGTTTTGCGTCTTGAATGAATCAGTAATAGTAAAGTTGCACGCTTTGAGACTTTTCTTGAGTTGACACGGCACCATTGGTGTTAATCAACACAAACAAAAACAAAACGCGCCAAACAAATGCTGCAGATAAACATACACACAATCATACAAAATCAGATTCACGCCATCATAACATGCGCCATTCTACTTCCGGCTGTCACCTGTCAAACACCCAAACAAAACAATGAATTAAATAAAGCACAAAACTAGCATACAAACAATACACGTGTTTAAAAACGTTTACATGTCTGGAAAATCAAATTTCGCACAAGTTCGATTTGTTTTGTTAGATTAAGTTAGATTCACAGCAATGGCGTCAAAGTCCACACGCATTGTTCTAGATATAAAATTGCGCATGCGCATCATTAGTCCGTTCGTGGTTCCGGTGTTGGTTTCTTTTTTTCTGTCGAATCTACGGATAGAAACAGCAAGCGACAAATCGCTAGACCTTCGAATGCGAGCGCGACCGATCCAGTTTTTCTAGCGACTCGTTCGAGTTCGAGCCGGTGCTATAGCCACCTGAAAATCACAAAACGCAAGACGCAAGGAAAATAAAGTTAGTACAGCGCAAAACTGCATGCTACAACAACAACGACAACGACGCCCTCTGCAGTCATGACACTTTGAATACTTTCAAGTTTGTCAGTTGACATCGTCGACAAATGTTACTTGGTACTTACTTCGTCGGCCATTGTTCCGTTTAGGCCGATGGTTGTAATAGTCTCGATCATCGCGGTCGTAATAATCATCGTCAGTCGGAGACGGTGAGCGCCGGTCGTACGGCGAGAAAGGTCGCGAGTCTGGTGTGTATCGACTATTCAGTGGCGGCGACGACATGCGTCCAAGCGGCGGAGGACGATGATCACCCGGGAACACTCCAGGCGGCGGCGGCATGCCAGGCATAAAAGGTGGGAGGAACGGCGGGACGCCCACACCCGGCGGAGGCGGCATAGGAAAACCAGGAGGTAAGCCGGGCAAGAGTGGTGGCGATGTAGTCATGTGCTCGCGTGCACCGAATAAGAGGGGCGGGGAGGCGGTGTCGTTGAGGTGATGGTCGACACCGTTTGTTTCAAGGGGAGACATTCCTGTTCATTCAAGAAAAAACATATTTCCTTATTTCAAATCACCACTCTAAAAATACTTGACTTACCGTTGCGATTCTGTGATTTTTCCTCGATAAGTCCACGTTCTCGTAGTGTTAGTCTATTGCGCAGTTGCGCTGCCTCCTGGCGAGCATCCTCAATACGACGCTCTGCTTGTCGAGCAGCGACCCAATTTTCATGAGCCTTTTTCTCCAACACAGAAATCTGACTCTTGAGATCAACCTCTTGAGAAACTATTTCTTGTTGAAGTGAAGCTACCTGCGTCCTGAGGAACAAAAGTGTCTTAAGTTAATTCCCTTGACTCAAAAAACAATAATTTAATTGAACTCACTTGAAATTTTGTATTTCTGCTTGCATAAACTTCATCCGTTCTGAAGTTGTGGTGCTTTCTCCTTGTTTCTCACTCCACATCGCCTCGTGCTTAGCAAGTTCACGCTGAAGCTCTGCTTCCTTCTCTTTAAAATACGAACTCAATACTTCTAGTTTAGTCAACGCTTCTAATTTCTCCTTATCCGCTTCTTCGTACTGCTTCTTGAGGGCCACCTTCTCCTCACCTAAATGCAAAACTTCACTCTGGAAATTTTTCCCGATAATCTGTTCGTGGCCCAATCTCTCCGCCAGATTTTTATTGTCCTGTTGCAGTTGCAACAGCTCCGCCTTTAACGTGCTGTGCTCCACAACATTCTTATTTGAATCTGTTTCGCTCAGTCCTTCTTTGAGTAGGTTATACTCTTTGGCTTTAAGTTCAAAGTTGCGTTGCGCTTCATCCGCGTGTGACTTAACTTCTAATAACTGCTTAGTAAGCTGTGCAATCTCAGCATTGCTAGTGGCTTTGACTTTAGTCAGAGCTTCCCTTAGTGATAAAGCTTCAGCTTCAGTTTTACTCACTGAAATTTCTTTCTCTTCTTCCGCTTTGAGCAGATTCAGCATCATCTTTTCCAGCTCGGCTTGCAAATCAACAACTTTTTTATTGTTGATTTCCAACTCAAGTTGCAACTCATGATTTTCTGTATCTTTCTCGTTTAATTTATCATTAACACTGTTGATAGTAGATTGTTGTTCAACTAATTGTTTTTGTAGTTGTTCTATGTTTGCCATCACAGTATCACTTCCATTTTGTGAACTTAACACATCCGATAACATCTTGTTTAATTCTAAACCCACTTCCGTGGAATTTTCTAATTCTTTTTCTAACGACTCCAATTGTTCTTCTAGTGCATATCGAGCGTTATTAGCTTCTTCTAACTGATTCTGTAGCTCTACGACCATTTCACTTGACACATTTTCATTAATTTCCTGCTGTGAGTTCTTCGCATCTTCTGCTTTGTGACTCAGTACTTCATTTTCTTTCGCTAGAATTAGCAACTGATGTTCTAAATGATTTATTTTACCAACCAGTGGTCCTTCTTTGCGCATTTTCTCAATTAGCATGTATCCCCAGAGGAAGAGTACCACGCATGCGCCAGAAATAGCGACAATCATCAGCGTGTCGTTGAATTCAAACATGTCTAACATGGACGCCATGCTGGATTCTTCAGTGTAGGTGGTTTCGGCCGAATAATGGTCTGCGTGTGAAGTTTCAGACTGACAGTGTACATCGTCGGCTGGGCAACTGTCGCGATTGTTGTGACCTGCGAATTCGAAAACAAAGTAACATCGTAAAAATAGTGGAGCTGGCACCTTGACATCATGAGAAGGTAAAAATAGATTCTAGCTAATGAACGAACGAAAATGCAAAGCAAATGTAACCTCAAAATTTCGTGCGTAAGTTGAAAGGTTATGTATACTTACTAGCATATTGTGAGAGTAAAACATCATCATTGACTTCTTCATATTTGCTTTCGGTGTATTTTGGAGTGTCGTCTGCATAAATAGACGGTTCTTGTTTGGGTGCAGCAAACATACCCAACAGTGAGTCAAACCAGTTTCCTTCAGATTCTTCATTTGTTTCAGTATTTGTCTCATAATTTGTGGTTGTTTCGCTTTCTTTTTGCTCATTATTAATCTGATCATAACTGGTATCAACGACACTGCCTGCGAATCCTATATCAGCTGAATTTTCAGTGGAAGAATCTACATTACCATAACTCCAAGATGACGGCTGTTCGGTAACAGCTTCAGTTATCGCTTCAACTGTTTCGGATTCGTCTACATTCGGTTTCCGTTCGTCTTCAATACTTATCGTTTCTGGTTCGGTCGTGGTGTAAGCGTTCGTTTTCGTAAGCGTTTCTTCCTCAACAGGTATTGGTGTTGTAACTTCCGGTTCATCCGCGACTTCCGATTTGGAGAAGTAGCCTCCAAAGTAACTTGATTCTTCTGTTGGAGCAGGCTGTTCTGTATCTGAATTTTCGTTTGATGAAGATTTTTCCTGCGAATTCTCTGCTACTTCTTGTGTTTGTAAATTTTCGAAGGCATCTACAGGCGGAGGATCTGGTATTTGTGGTGGTGCATCCAAATTAACATCTGGATTTTCTTCCGCACTAGCAGCAATTGGTTCGTATGTGTCAGCAAACTCAGATTTAAACTCACTACTGTCATTTACACTGTTATCGACTAATGGTGGACCTATAGCGATACTTTCAACAGGTTGTTCTTCATTAGAAAGGGTGTTTTCGACTTCTTTAACGGGTTCTTCTTCGATTTTAACTTCACTTTCAGTCGAATCAGTGTTAACAGAATTTAAAGATTGATTTTCATCATTTTTGATTTGATCTTCATGAATATCAGGAGTTGATTCGACATTAATCACCTCTTCTGTGGTTGTAGAAGGTGTACCAGATGCAGGCATGCCCGGATCTTTTACAGGAACATTTGCTTGGCGGAAAAACAATGGAAGTTTAGTCGGAGGAGGTGGTGGTGGTTGATTTTGAATAGGCGGTGCTTCCGTTACCGGTAATACACCAGGTTCGCCTTTAATTTCATTTTCTGGCTGTTCAATTGTTTTTGGCTCATCATCAACTTTTGTTTCAATATTAACATCATTTGGTTTATTAAGCTCCACTTCAATATCTTTTAAATCATCATCATTTTCATCTTCTTCATCATCTTCACTCTCAATATCAAATCCATCATCATCATCCTCATCATCATCTTCATCATCAGCCAATTCTTCTTCTTCATTTCGTTTATTATCAATTGCTTCCTTTTCCTGTGTTGTTGATTCCTTTAAATCATTTGCTTCTTGCTTTTCTGGCAAAACAGTTTCCTGTGATGTTTTTTCACCAATGTTTTCAGTGAGAATTTCATTTATTTCTTGCTTTACATTTTCTGATAAAACAGGCACTGATGTTGACTGTTGTTGCTGATGATGTGTATCTTGAGTGGCACTAGGTGAGATATCATTGTACAATGTGGTTCCATCAATGATAATCTTCTCTGAGTCTGAATTATTGCTAGAAGGCACTGCTGGTGCTGGTTTGAACTCAGTATCCACCACAATCTCTGCTTTATGGTTAAACATTTTCATTTCTTTCACCATAGTCTTTGGTATGTAACCCCTTTTGCCTCTCAACTCCACACCCCACAAATCCAGATTACTGCCAGCTTCCTTGCTGAAAATCTTCACCTCTTCACCGGGTCGGAACGAAAGCATGCCGGGCTCGGGGGCGGCATATGAAATGAGCGTTCTACCCAACGAAATTGGCACTAAAACCGAATGTAAATGAATAACCTAGAAACATCTGGAGTCTTTAGCAGTTAAAATAAGCGAATTTTATCAAATTTAAGCATGAAAATAATTTTAAATTAATTGTGATGAATCATGATTGTGATTAGGAGAAGATTAAGTTTGTTTAAGTTAGGATTTGTGATGATTTGGTTGTATTCTAAGTGTCTTTTGTTTTTCCTAGTTTGTTAGAGAGCCAATTGTTTCGTGGATGTAGTCGTACCTGTACAGTTTTCGTCGACGCATCTTCGCTTGCTGGAGACGGCCGCCTCCGTGGACGTGCACACGGCGAGCGCGACGAGGAGGAAGGAAATTTTCACGTTCATCTTTTCATCGTCGCAGCGCATTGACAAACAAACTCGCGAGTTTCAAGTCACGAAAGCCACATCATCCTGACAGCTGTGAAGTAGTAAAGTGCGCCATCGGAACTGGGTTACACTATAGGCAACCCAAAATGCACGCAAGCAGAATATAAATAACAAACCGTGAGTTATAAATTAAAGATTACACGCGAAAATCATAATTTTAAATTAAATATTACAATATTTCTTAGATATTTGAAAAATTGTTTTTATTTTATTTGTTTCTTTGTTATTTTTTAAACTTAAATCAATGAAAACCAATGAAACACGCAAATACTTCTTATTTTAGATAAGTACAGTGTGCGTGTGTCGAGTCCTCACTACGTTTGCTACGCCAAACAAAATAAATACTACGTGCTACAGTTAAAGGCAGACAATATGGCATTGAGATGATTACACCGCCGTGTCGTCACGAAGTTCGTCGCTTGATGGGTTTCCAGCCTGCCGGAATCGTGAGGCAAAGTTCGATGCGAACCTAGTCAGTCCCATTCTGTTTGAAGGAAGCGAAAGATAAACAAACGTCAGTCCTCGCAAATATTTGATTGCAAACGGGTACGTGAATGTGTAGATTTATGATGTAAAATGCGTAAACTCTTAACTCAAACACAACACAAGGCAATTTAAAAATTCGTAACAAACATACAGTGTGTTTGTGGTTGAGTTAAAATTTGGTTAGTGTGAATAATGGAGCACTCCTTACGAAATTTGTGGCCTGCGGACTTTCCTGCAGCGGCCGCGCTTGTCACGTTGGTAGCCCTGAGCGCAGCGCCGATAATGCAGGATTTCGCCGAGTGTCGGCTGCTCGTTGACAGCGACCTCTCCCAAATTACCATCATTGGCATCTTCCAATGGTACGATTGTTACACTTGTAACAACATCGCCTTTCTTATCTTTTATATTTGTGCTTTCTGGGTTCTTATCTTTCACAATCGGCGTTTCATTACGCACGATTGAAAAATCCTGCACTACAACCGGAATTTGTCCTGGAATGGACACTATTGGTTTGACAGTTGTGGCTCGGGTGGTTGTGACGGAAACTTTTTTAATTGTCGTCAACGCAGCCGTTGTGGTTGTAATGGGTGGTGAAGTTATGATTTTAACTGTTGATGGGGCGGCCGTACTTACTTTCTCGATATTTTCCGAGACAACTTCATGTTCCACCATTGTAGGCGGCGTGTTTCCATTTACAGACGGTAGAGGGAGTTTAGATACTAGTGTATGGGTGCTTGTATCGTCTGCAACTGTTTTTTTCGTTGTGGTAGTTGTCGTTGGCGTGGTTAAAAGTGGTTTAAGGGTTGTTGAAGGTGAAATAATTGGATAGGGATGTGTTCCGGCAGGCTTTTTTGTGGTTGGTTTTGAGGTTAGGTCCAGGATAGAAAAGTCAACAGACGATAGGTCGCCATTTTGTGTTGAATCCGATGTGGATGGTTTCTTAGTTGTTGTACTTGATGATGTGCTCGGTTTTACCGTAAAATCGGAATAATCGTAGTTGTAGTCATAATCCTACAACATAAAATAAATTGTCATTATTTTGTGGTTAGGAATTACTTGATTTACTTACACCCAAACCTCCAAATGAATCGTCACCGACTACAGCTATAATTTGAAAATCTTTCAAATGTAGCTGAATATTGTACTCGCCGGTTTGTTTCTGATCGAAAGTTGTGGACGCACTGCGTCTTGGCGCACTTCGTGTTTCCGCTAGCGCGCATGCGCAAATTGCAGCTATGAACAACTTTTGTACTTCGTTCATTTTAGTTGTATTTTAATTGCTTAAAGTTTATTTATGTGAATAAATTTTAAATTATTACGATGTGCGTCAATGTCGATGTTTCTTAACTGACCGTCGAAGACGCACTGATCGCATCGACCATCGAGATGTGTGTGAAGACCCGTCGAACGTCCAGAGTGCTAAAAGAGTCAAAGTCGATGACTTCGGGCTTTGGCTCGGGAGTCAACAAGTCGGCTCGCAAGTGAGCGACGATTAATTCTGCCCATCAACTCGTCGTCAAGTGGAGTCACCTCTACACACCTTTTTATTTCTATCTGGACATGTGTTATGTTCAGGAAGTTCACTTCTTTAGGAAAATTTTGCTTTATTGTAGTTTTTGCAAACTTGTTATGCAACATAATTTACATGTTGCTGAATGAAGTTGTATAAACGGTTAGCTATAAATATTACCGGTTTACAATGTAAGCATATTGTATATTTATAGATAAAGCGCCTTGTTCACGGAAAATTTGATTATTTTCAATTGAACGTTTTCATCTTTTTTTCTCTTTATTTTTAACTTTTGTAATTGACTCTGATTTTGAAAATTCTTTACACAAAATTAAAATTATTAAAGCAGATTTTTAAATAATTAAAAGTCGAAATTAATTTCAATGATTAAAATTCACCGCTATAGGTCTTCGAACTGAAATAACACGCCGCCATTTTGAATTCGATGAAGGAATGAATGAAAACGGCAAGTCACTCGCATGCATGAGATTATACCAACGCTCGATCGTGAGATAAATATTCAAGATTCACTAATTAATTGACTTTACGACGACATGAAACACGAATTCGTCGAAAATTATCGACAAAAAAAGATGACAAACATTTACGAATCTTCACATGCGCTTAAAAAATAAACCGTTGGTTTCGAAACGATTTCCTGCGTTAAAAACGATATGTTTGCTAAGTAATCATTGATATAAGCGCTAAAATTAAATAATCTTAACAATTATAAACCGTTTTAAATCAGACAATTTTAATGTCGGTTTATTATTTGATAGTGAATGAGGCGCCCTCTTCACTTTTTATAACTTCATTAATTGAAGCGTTTTGCGTTTTCATTTTGCACGTGAGGGAAAAAAATCGCCGATATGCCGTTACGCGACGCTCGCTTTATCTTACAAGAGAGTGCGCGAAGCAGGCACAAGATTCGTTTCGAGCACGGGAAGTCCGAGATTATAACAGTTAATTCGTTTATTCGTGGCGGATCGCACAAAAGGCCGGCTCGCGGCAGGGTCACAGCGACAACACTTCGACTTTTAGTTCGATTTTATCCGTCGATCGGTAAACATCAACTTTGCACTCGATTTGAAAACAAGTGACAAGTAAATATCAAAGAAACAAAATGGGTGTTAATCGAATGATTATCCCATCGTTAGTTGTTTGTTTCGTGTGTTTTGTGGCGTTGTCACACAGCGCCCCCTCGAGAGTGAAATACGATCAACGACAGGAAGGAGATCTCAACGTGCGTGCTGATCTGGAAAATTTTGTTATCCTTGTAATTCCTACGAATGCGGGGGCTTCTCCATCAACGCTGGGTCTTCTTGATTTATTATCAAAGGCGATTCCTATGAGGTCCAACAACAAACGTCAAAAAACCGTGCGTAGACCAGTTCAACCGACGCCATCTTTATTGGAAGATAGCGGCGAGGTAGATGCTTTGGACGATACACAGTCCTTTATTGAATCTAAAACAGCTCCGTACCACGTGGACATTACCAAATCCAGAAAAAATTTGGCTAAGTTACATCCGAAAACTCAAGATGGCGGACAGGAGGAACTCTTAGTGTCACCGAATTTATCTTTGATCAAAGCCGCTGAAGAAGAAGATGCTGGAGTTGAACACAACGAAGACGGAACACGTCAAGGGCGTATGTTAAGACTTTCAAAAGGATTTGTTCTTTCTATGCCCTTGGAAGTTGAAGAAGATTTGGTAAAAATCGATAACAAAAGAATTGAAAAGTCAAAGGATACAATTCGAACCGAATCAAAGGAAACGAAGAAAAAGGTTGGTCTTGTCAAGGGAAAGGACAAACCTGCTGAACCCAAACTGAAATTGCTTCTTTTGGGTGCTGAACATGATGAAGAGTGCGGACCGGGATACGCAAGAGACGATAATGGAGTGTGCATATTTCTGGCACACGTTTAAATGCAGAACATGCTGAGGACATTCAAATGAGGATTTATTTATTTTATCAGATACTCAGTATTTATTATTTTACTTGTGATTTTTATAAATTGTGGTTGTTGTTGTATTTCTTTAAATAAACTGATTTTTTAAATATTTTGAACACTTTGTATGTGACTTGGGCACACTGTATAAAAATACTTAATTACACTATTAATCTGCGGACCTATAAACTATTTCTTGCTAAATTAATTAAAATAAATTTTAAATTAAAACACATTGTGTACAATATGGCCGTCGCGTGCGTGCATAAATTTAATGAGCTTGGGCGGCGTGTCGATTTCGCAGAAGCGCCATAATAAACTGTGGAATCCTCGCTTGATACCGCGTTCTGCAAACAAACAACGATAAACGTCAAACGTCTAACAAAACTAATCGAAATGTTTTATTTCAAACTTACAGTTTGCGTTTCTGTTGGTCAAGGAAGCTCTGATCGTGCCGACGCACGTTAAATCGCTTTTTAACACCGCTCCATGATGTTGTATTAGTTTGATTTGATGGTGGTGTAGGCGGTGTTAATGGCGGTGCTTCAGTGGAAGATGGCGTTGGCGTTGGCATTGGCATTTCCGGTGGTGTTATAATTAATAACAAACCACTCACTTTAATTCTGTAGTTTTCTGTACCATTTTGCCGTTGATCGACGAAATCGATGCCATTATCCTCGTCTAAATCATCATCGTCATCGTTGTCATCTTCTTCGCCATCTTGGTAGCGCTCATCGTCGTCAATGACACTGTCATCATCTGAATCTTCACTGTCTTTATCATATGATGTGCAGTGTTTACCACATTTACGTTCTTCATTTTCTGTCAAAATTGTAACCGTTGATGAACTCACGACGCCATTTTGAAAACTCCCATGATGCACTGGGGAGGTACATTGTTGACGGTCATTGAATCAACATCTGATGCGCTCGTTAATGTTATAAACGTGCCCACGCACACTGTTAATAATAAAGTTAATTGTATTTTCGCAAATTGACGTGTCGCCATTTTGTGTGGTGGAGTGTTTGGATCGAGTTGTGTCCGAGGACTGAGCGCATGAAACGCACTCGCACGACATTCACGACGTTGCGAACGTTTCCAGTTTTCGGAATACGGATGCGAAGACGCAAGACGATGCGAGGTAAACGCCTCTTGAGGCATCTAACTGTAATTTGATTTTTTTCTTGTCGCATTGAGTCGCCAAGTCGTTTAACTGTCCCAATGTGTGTAATTGCAGGTTCGCTTAAACGGCCATTAATTATGTTAATTGTCAAAACATGCTAAAGTTATAGCTTCCTTATGCCATCGTAAATCAAAATAATAATTAACTATTTATTGGTATAATGTTTAACATGTACAAAAACTTGTTTAATATTATTCATTCATAATGTTTCTATAAGCAAGTTGATCTTCTAACATTTTCTTATACACCCTGTATTTTTTATCATGATAGTTTCGAGTTGAATCTTCTGGTGATATTGATTTTCCTCGTCCACCCATACGTGAAATCGCTTCGAACATGTTCTCAAAATGGCCGGCGGCACAAGCTCCCAAGATGGCGGCTCCTAGGAGTACTGATTCTACTTCTTCCGGCACTACTACCGGTAAGTGCACAGTATTTGCTTGCATTTGTACGTATAGTGGGTTTTTACTTAATCCACCACAAATTAATATGGATTTAAAGGGTTTATAACCGGAACTGACTAATGTCTCCATTATATGACGCGTACCATACTAAAATTTAAGTTATGATATTATGAACCACTTAAAATTTGTTTTAAAACTTACGCAAAGTGCTTGAACAGTGGCCAAATATAAAATTGCGAGGTTTTCTTCAGTTGACGATAAAGTCAAGCCGGAAATCTACAATGGATTATTTTTATTTAGGTTAAATATTACTTAAATTAATTTTAATAACAAACCATTCCTTTAAGAGTTGGATCTGCTATTGGTGAACGATTTCCATGGAAATCCGGCCAAACATGTACTTCTTTAGTTAGAAAATCAACCGGAACTTTTTCACGTGTGCTAATCGTACGTAAAAGTTTGGTTAGATATTCTTGAATGTGCCTATAACACAAATTATCTTTAGTTTTCTTAATTTTTCGGCGTTTTTAAAGTTTACACTTACATGTCACCAATTCGAGCCTTAATTTCATTGCTAGCTGGATGACTATCAATTATAAAATCAATTAGTTTTCCTGTAACGCTCTGCCCGGCTTCATTTAACCACATTCCTGGAACCATTGCACTATAATATGGTCCCCAGATTCCTGGTGTTGGCAAAGCGTCTTTCGAGACAGCCATGTGACATGTTGATGTGCCACAAATTAAACCTTAAAAATATTATTTAAATTTTGCACGTTGCTTGATTTGGTTATGTATACTTAGTCTGCTAGAAAAGTCTGCATCAACGCCATCTACTTGACATCCGATCAATCCCAATCCACCAGAATGTGCATCGATTATACTTGCACCAACAGGCATGTGTGGAACTAAATCTAATTCTGCAGCAACTAATGGATGTAAGCCATTTCCCACAGATTCTCCTGGAGACTTCACCACTTTTCCGATTTTATGTCCGCCATTTTGCAAAAGATCTTCAAGGCATGTTTGTTTAAAGTAGGAAGGGTTCCATTGTGAGGTATTATTGTTTGCATCGAGAATTTCGTAAGTCCATTTACAAACCAATGAACATAACGATCTATTAAGAGTAAATTAATAATGACATTTATTAATGATAATTAACCTTAAAATTTTACCGTGAATCACAAGATGTCGCCCTCCATGTTAGATAATCAGGTAAATCAAAGAAATACCCAGCGTTTGACCATGTTTTTGGTAAATTGGTTTTCAACCACTTTAATTTTGGTGTTTCCATTTCTAACGATATCTTACCGCCAACAAATCGTAAAATATCATGTTGTTGGGCTGTTATTTCATCGGCTTCCTTTGATGCGCGATGATCCAACCACATAATTATGTTTTGGTCATTATTTCCTGAAACATAAAATCAATTTTATTGCAATCTCCACTTGTTGATAGATTATTTGCTTATTTACCTGATTGACTGACTGATAGAGGATCGCCATTTTTATCGACAACAACCAATGAACATGTTGCGTCGAATCCAATTCCTTTGATTGTTTCTGGTGGGACATTTTTAATCACTTCCTATTGTTATAATTACTACTATAATTATAATTAAATAGTTAAAACGTAATAACTTACTTTAATGCAATACAGGCATGCATTCCACACATCTTCGGACGATTGTTCATAGAAATCCACATTGTAGTTAAATATTTGTATATTTTTTGTGGCGACTTTAACGACTTTTCCTGTTTCGGAAACAAGGGCCGCGCGTGCGCTTGTTGTTCCCACGTCAACTCCAATGAAATAATTCATTGTGATTAACTAGTTTCACTTTTTTTAAACTATTACTAAACTTTCTTGTTGTGAGTTGTGCATTCAACAAAGATTGTCGAACGAATGTGGAACAAGTTAGCACGACTTAAGCAGCGATAATTCCATCGTCGCGCTGACTTACGAATGTTATGAAACGAAATCCTGACCTTAAGCCGGGCGATAAACTAGTTATTCATATCGTGTCATAGAGTCGCATGTGTACGACGTGCAATTATATCATACAGAGTGCAAGTTAAACTTTACCAGTCTCGCAGCGTTTATGTTAGTTTCAAACTTTTGAAAAGTTGTAAATACTTGAGAAATGCGATAAACTCTAGTAATGATTTATGTGTGAAAGTGAAAGGTAAATAGAAATAAATGATTTAAAAATGTTTTTTTTTTAAATCTGGGCACGCTGTATGCACATTAATACTTTTTAATACATTTTTTATCTTTTACTTCAGACGTCGTGCGTATTTTACGGTTATTGACGCTTAAATTAAGCAATGCAATTGTTTAATACTTGTTTTACGTTAATTTATATTTATGGGTGCTTTAGGGGTACACTTGGCAGCCAAGAATTAATTTATAATAGGAAATTGGATTAAAAATCGAAGATATTCGTGATTTTTGACGTAGAAGAGGCCATTTTTCAACGACTTTGTAATTTTATTTAGCGTAGATACGACGTATATTTGATTAAAAGCCTGGTAGGAGTATAAAACTTTTGCGGAATAATCTAACAACATTATTACATCGTTTATCTTCTTCCTGGAATACGAAGTCCATAGTATTATATTGATTTAAAATTGAATTACATTTCATTTTGAGTTTTACCACGAGGGCATCGTCAGTAAAAATGTATACAAAAACAAATGATATTCAATTCAGGTACAATTTTAAATAAATGTTATTCAATAGGTAGAAAACTGCAGAGTATCTGATTAGTGTTTAGTATGTTTGTGGTATTCGTACATAGATGGCGCTGAAATCAAGTTCTGGTTTGTTTCTTAACTAATGCGAATGGAAGTTTGAAAAACCATGTGCCTACTTGTTTACAACACACTTTAACTAACTACTAACCTAGAATGTTATCAAAATATTGTAGTAAATCGCGTAAGTAGTGTTACAAACTAATTACATAGCAAAGAGTGTGTATGCAAATTGAATATAGATCATGGTTCGACTTAAGCACAGGTATGATTTCTATTATAGTATTCTGTATATCTATATGTACTTTGTTTTCCTTGTACTTAGATATCTAGTAGTGCTTGTAACAGACACAGATAATAATAAACCTGCCAAATTGGATGAAAAATGCGTCTATTTATCAATAAGCAACACAGTGCGATATTTACATGGTGTGTTTGGTGATGCCGCAGTACACAATGGCTTGTGTGTAAAGTACATCAATAAACACACTGGTTTAGTGGTGATTCGTGCCAGAAGAGGAACTCATAGATTATTAGCAAGTGCTTTGCCAATGGTTCGAACTGCATCTATTAACAATAAAGAGACTGCTAATATTAGTATTTCAACTTTGTACACTGGTGCATGTGTGAAACAATGTCTGCTCTTCATTAAAAGATATCAAATGGATGAATATCACAAAGCAGCAGTGACTATGAGTGAAGAAGAACGCCAAGAACTTAAAGAAATGTTCATGAACTATTCACTTGCTATTTAATGTGGCAATTGATTTATATTAATTGACTGCCTAGATATATGAAAGCACTTACAATTAACTGTGTTGTCTAGTAATTAAAATATTTACACATGTGTTGTTGTTATTATTAACCATATAGCAAAAATTTATTAATTAAAATAACTTCAAAAATGCATTTGGAAAGTACACATTTTTTATTGAAATTATATTTTTGAAATATTTGCATTTACAGGTGATCAGTCAAAGATCCTTTGAAATATAATGATGGCAAATGTTTGATTTGAGACAATGATATTTGTTTGGTTTAGGATCAGCTGCTAAAATGGACCATGTCATATTGCCAAAGATGCACCATTTAGTTCAAATTCTTATCATTTTCATACATCACCTTTATTGTTTGTGTTTGTTTTTAGGAGCTGATGTAGCTTAAGATGCTAGCTATTTTCATAAACAATTTTTGTAATTTGCGATTGTGATTTTGCAATTAATATTGCATTTTTGTGATTCGCTCATTAATTAGCAACAAAAATTGCATTTTTGTGTTTCGTAGGCTCGACAGCGTAGGAGAACCATTTATGCATCAGATTGTAAGTATTAACTTTTTTTATCATCTTGCTAAATAACTTTTATGATTATCTCACAAATAGACCCTTATAATTGCATTTTTATGCTTCGAAGGATTAATTTTTACTTGTTTTAGGGATTTTGCAGGTTAGTCCGGCATCGTAGAAGGACCATTTTTGCATCAGATTGTAAGTATTTAATTTCTTTATCATCTTCAGTAATAACTTTTGTGACTTGGTCATTATTTAGTGACAAAAATTGAATTTTTATGTTTGAAAGACTAATTTTTGCTTGTTTTAAGGATTTTGCACCTGAGTCTGACATCATACAAGGACCATTCCTGCATCAGATTGTAAGTATTTAATTTTTTTATCATCTTGCTAAGTAATTTTTATGATTATCTCTCAAGTTGACCCTTTAAATTGCATTTTTATGTTCGAAGGACTAATATTTGCCTGTTTTAGGGATTTTGCACCTGAGTCTGACATCGTAAAAGGACCATTCTTGCATTATATTGTAAGTATTTAATTTCTTTATCATTTGCCTCAATAAAATTTGTGATTATCTCACAAATTGACCCCCAAAATTGAATTTTTATGTTTGTAGGACTAATTTTTGCTTGTTTTCGATTATAATTTGTGGGTTTATCCCTTGAGAACATGCCCTTTTCGTGTTTTTCTATCCTCTAATTTTTGTGGTTTTAGGTGTCTAACGGGTGAACGCGATGTCGTAAGGCCACCGTTCTTACACTAAATTGTAGGTATTAAAATTTTCTATCGTTTTTGTATATAATTTGTGGGTTTGTCCATTGGGAATTCTACGAAAATGCAATTTTTGTGTTTTTTGATCCTGTAATTGTTGTGGTTTTAGGTGTCTAGCGCGCGGACGCGATGTCGTTGGGCCGTCGTTCTTACACTAAATTGTAGGTATTAAAATTTTCTATCGTTTTTGTATATCATTTGTGGGTTGTCCCTTGGGAATTCTACGAAAATGCCCTTTTTGTGTTTTTGTATCCTTTAATTGTTGTGGTTTTAGATGTCTAGCGGGCGGACGCGATGTCGTAGGGCCACCATTCTTACACTAAATTGTAGGTATTAAAATTCTCTATGGTTTTTGTGTATAATTTGTGGGTTTGTCCCTTGGGAACCCTATGAAAATGCCCTTTTTGTATTTTTTTATCCTTTAATTTTTGTGGTTTTAGGTGTCTAGCGGGCGAAGACGATGCCGTAGGACCACTGTTCTGTTACCAAATTGTCGGTATTAAAATTCTCTATCGTTTTTGTATATACTTCGTGGGTTTATTCTTTGGGAACCCTACGAAAATGCCCTTTTTGTATTTTTTGATCCTCTAATTTTTGTGGCTTTAGGTGTCTAACGGGCTAACGCGATGTCGTAGGACAACCGTTGTTACCCTAATTTGTAGGTATTAATATTCCCTATCCTTTTTGTATATAATTTGTGGGTTTATTCTTTGGGAACTCTATGAAAATGCCTTTTTTGTATTTTGCGCTCGTCAAAGTTTTGAAACTCTATCACTTTCACCTATAATTTGTGAGATAAGCGCGCACAACCTACAAAAATAAATTAAAAGTAAGGTAATTTAATTGATTCAAATCACATACTTTCTGTTATTTACAGCAGATAATTTGTGTACTAAAATATTGGGAGTTGTGTTGTTGTTTTTAATTTACGAACATAGATTGTTGTCCCTCCAACTGTGGGGTCGGTTATCAATTCTCGTTCTTGTTTAGTCCGGCTTAGTCGTTCGTGGGCCGTGGTGTGGTGTGCACATGTTTTGTTCATTAATCAAACTTCGTGACAATTGTTTGCGTTACTAAAGATTTTAATTCTGTAATTGAACTGGAATAGGACGACATTTAGTAATAACAGACCAGCGTGGTGGCTGTTTATCAATCGTTTCCTTTTGCAATCAGTTATCGTTTCGCACATAGGAATAACTTGGATTTATAATTATTTCCTGCAAATGGACAACTAATAACAATATCTATTAGCTGAGTTGTTGGAGATGCGTGTATTTTATAGTAAGTTTTTAACTTAACTTTGTTATTGTTCTCAATAAAACTCATTATAAAATTACAATCTTATCCATATTTCTTTATGGTATCCTCTTTGTCGTTTTCAGTATTGACATCTTATGTATTATATTGCACATTGCGTGGAGCTAATGCAACATAGTTGAGTAGTGTTGTTTTTAAAAAGTTGAATGAAGTAGAAACATAAATAGAAGAATCAAATATTAATAATAAAAACACTCGATGGTCGAGTGGCTACGTGCACCTGTTAGCATGCTAGTAGACATGGATCGAATCTCAGATATAGAAGGCATTTTTCTCAAATATAAAAAATAACAGGTAATTTGGGTTGCTTATGTAAAACTCCAAGTCGGTATAAGAGAAATTGTAATACAAGGAAGGCAATATGAGAAGGCAAGGAAGTAAGTAGGATGAACATGAGAACAGAGAAATAGAAGAAGAAGGGAGGAGTAGTAGAGCCTGTAGAGGAAAAAGTAGAAGGAAAAGAAAAGAGAAGAAGAGAAGAGGAGGAGATAGAAGAAAGAGAACAGGAGTTTAAATTTTATGTCAAAGCTAGGGACAGTCTAAGTACCTGAGAGCACGCCGCAACTGAACGTAGCGCATACCA